ACTTTTATCGACGCCGCCACCCGATACGTCTGGCATCTTAACCTTCCAAGTCGCGACATGGCCTTCGAAGCCTTCGTCGCCTGGCTACCTGTGGCAGAACGAGAATCAGGAGCGAAGCTGAAAAGCTTCCAGTCAGACGGGGGAGGAGAATATAAGTCACAAAGATTCAAGCAGTACCTCGCAGAACGAGGCATCAAGCAACTCATCTCACTTCCCTACGCCCATCAAAAGCAAGGCGTGGCAGAACGGATGAACAAAACTCTCCAGAACACCATGCGCAAACTGCTACGCGGCATGCAACTGCCCAGCCACCAGTGGCCCAAGGCGATGGACCACGCTGTCATGCTGCACAACTTGCTCTCGTCATCATCGCTCCCGAACAACGCATCACCGCACCTGCTGTGGACAGGAAAACTGGGCAACACAAAAATGTTACGAGTTTTTGGGTGCATGTTACAGTACCGACCGCACACTGCAAGAGCCGGAAGATTTTCACAACGTGCACAGTGGGGACTACATTGAGCATCGAAAAACATTACAACGCATGGAAGATTCTTTACGTCCACTCGAAGGAAACAGTAGCAGCACGTGATGTCATTTTCTATGAACAACTCTCCCTTCAAACGTACCTGGACAACCTAGCAGCAGATCGAGACCTCACTGGCCGCTTCCGTGGCAACCGAGCCTTCGCCACACCAGCTGACAAAGCTGACTGGGACGAGCAAAACATGGACGGTGCATCCGAGGAAGCAAGACCACTTACATACTGCTCCGTGCCCATCTCGATGGATGACGACAACCCTCGCGAAAGTGTCAACGCCGAAGTCTATTACGACCTCGCCAACAAGGGTTACGTTACACCCCAACCAGTCCACACCAACGTCTCCGAACGCATAGGGCCCAACTTCCTACCTGATCCAGAAGCAGGAGATGAAGCAGCTTATCCCGAGGACGCAAATCTCCCCCGCTACACACAAAGTGGGCTGCAGATACTGGGACTCGTCACCGCTGTCCACGGAGCGGCACCACCTAAAGAGCCTGCCACTTTTTAGCAGGCTCTAGGGGGGGAACACAGGGAAAAATGGCGCGAAGCCATGGACAGAGAATTAAAGGCACTGCAAGAACGCAACACCTGGAAAGTCGTGCCTATCGGAGTGGCACGCAACAAGACCATCCTCACGGGAAAATGGGTTTTCCGCGTGAAAACGAAAGCCGACGGAACAATAGACAAATTCAAGGCACGCTGGGTCCTGCGCGGCTTCGACCAAGAGCATGGACGAGACTTCACCGAAACATTCGCACCAGTTAGCCGACACACCTCACTGCGGATTCACCTCGCGATAGCCGCCATGGAGCGGAAGAAGCTCCGCCAAATCGACGTCGCCAACGCTTTTCTCTACGCCCCTGTCGACGCTGAAATCTTCGTCGAACAACCACATGGGTCCAACACAGACCCTAACCAAGTCTGTCAGCTGCAAAAATCATTGTACGGCATCAAACAAGCCCCGAGACTGTGGCAGCAGCATCTTCACGCCCGACTGATCTGCATCGGATTCTGCCAACTACCGCATGACCAAGGAATGTACCGACTCACTAAATTGACCAACTACATCCTGCTCATCATCTACGTAGACGATCTCCTCTACATAGGCTCCATCGATGGCATAACAACCTGGTTTGAAGGGGAGCTACAGCGGGACCTCACACTCACCGTCTCGTCTACCGTGACACAATATCTCGGACTCAACGTACAAGAGGAGGAAAACGCAATCTACCTCAGCGCCGCGAAATACGCCGACAACATCGCCAAACGTTTCGGACTAACTCCAGCTACCATCACCACGCCATATCGTTACACCAACGGAAACCACAAAGAAGCCTCCGCCCTACTCAAACCCGCCGGCATTCGCGAATACCAACGAAAGCTAGGCTGTCTACTCTTCGCAGCCGTCACCTGTCGACCAGATCTATCATACTCAGCGAGCCAGCTCGCCACCTATCTCAAAAAGCCCGAAGCAGATCCCATGGCAGAGCTCGACCATGCACTCCACTACCTCGTCAGCACCTCGACGATCGGCCTAACCTACCACAAGACCGGAACTACGACACCTAAATTAATCGGTTACGTCGATGCTGACCACGCCGGCGACTCAGACAACAGGTGATCGCGCACTGGCTACATCTAGCGACTCAAACCTATCGGCCCTATCTCATGGCAGTCGAGCAAACAAGAGCTGATTGCTCTCTCCTCAGTTGAAGCAGAATATATCGCACTCTGCTCAGCCACCAAGGAAGGATTATACCTTCGCGAACTACTAGAAGAGGCAAAGCTGGCTAAGTTACCCAGCTTCTCCCTGTTCTACGACAACCAATCGGCCATTCGCAGAGCGAACAAGAACAGGTTCGCGAATCGAACGAAGCACATTGCCCTCCGGTATTTCTTCGTAAATGACGAAATCGAGAAGGGGAGACTTGAGCTATCCTACTGTCCTACATCCAAGATGGCAGCCGATTACTTGACCAAGAAACTCGGAAAACAGAAGTTCGAGTACTGCATGCTGCTGACTGGACAAGGCCACGTCATCAGCATCGACACTCCAGAAGCGAAGGGGAGTGTTGGAAACAAATAGTTACCGCTTCTGAAGTATCGAAGTAATAACACGAACGAAGCAGACTACAGTGAAGCAACGCGCGAGTGAACCAAGGAAGTTAAAACGTAACAGCTGGAGGTTATGCGAAGGTCAAAGGTCGCTGACCTTTGACTCGACGAAATACTGCGCGACAGCAAGGACAAACAACTGACTCGTTATTGAGCAGTTGCCCGAGTCGACACTGTATCGAACCGCAACAGCAAAAACAGTTAATCGCACCTCTTTGTATTCCTTGTAATCATATATATATTATTGTATCTCTTTGCTTTAATCAATCTATCTTGCTCTCACATACTAGTGCAAGGTGGTTCAATAGTCTTATTATATGCTTCCGCAATTACAACATTTCTACTCCAGATCTTAGCCTTCAAAGATCCTAAGGGCTTTTCTCAGCCCAACAGTGAATAATGGGTATTGAAGCTTTGACAACTTTTAAAGGGATTGTCGTACGGTGGAAGATCGTCATATCACGCTGAAGCGCAGGATCGCCGATCCCGTAACGCGTCCTAAAGGGACCCACATGCTGCCAAAACTGAACATGACAAAACCTAAACCAAACAAAACAGGCATAAGCCAAACATGCTCGGCGCGACCCTGGCACGAACTGGCGCAACCGGGTGCAACAAGTTGCAAATTTGTTTTTTGTGAAGGAATTGAAAAACCTGGATGCAATCTCGCGATACTGCGCAGAAAAGAAAAAGGCACCTGTAACACAGACGGAACCTTGTCCGCAGGTTGAAAATAACGTGGAAGCGCATGTAGGTCGATCGATTTGGACGAGGTTTGGTCGCCTTATCTGCGGTGCGAGCTTGGTCGACAGGATTGTGAGAGGCGCGCGATCGGCCGTGTCGCGCAATTTTGCCCTGCCAAATCTGTTTATCGCCGTATTTCGGCAAGAAAATTCAATGCGATGCACTGTAGATGAACAGCTGTATGCCGGGCGCGCGGGTGTACACTAAACACACGTCCACCAGGTGTGGTCGGACAGCAATGCAACCAATCACAGGAAGGCGCGAAAGAAGGTGACAGAAAAGACGGAGGAGGTGATTCTGGAATTTAGATTGATTATGTGTAACAGTGAAGCGTTGGCGAGATTGAGTAACTCAATAACTTTGCGAAGCCGTTCCGAGAAGCTTTCTCGCAGAGCCCAGCTTTGCAGCGTCCTCTTGACGCCAAATGACAGGGCAATCTTGGGATCATTTTGAAGTTGCAAATTCAAAAGTTTGACAGTGGCATGGTTTGGCGGGAAACCAAGACCTTGGAGTACGGCGCGGGAACCAGTAGGTACCGATCGGCACCGCGCATGCAGAACCATCCCCACACCAGGAACCTAGAGGTTATCTGTGCTGCTGGTGTTGCACCATCATCTCATCATCACTTGGCTAGAAGACTACAAGAAGAGCTCTCCTTGGAAGTTCATGGTTAGCATTCATGACAAATTTGACAGCAGCCATTGTGGGAGAAATCATATTCTAGTGAGTCTTTAGCAAGCCTTAGTCAAACTCCCTACGCCGGTACCATCATTCAACTACTAGACTCCATTTGGCTCCCCTCGAGCTTGTTGGCGATAAATGCTTGCTGTTCTTTAAGTTTTCGTAATGCGACCATAGCACCACCCAGTAAGGAGTTTCTCACTCCTTTTCTGGTCGACGTTTCGTGGAAAGTTCTCGAGAACGTGCGACATAGTCATGGAGAGGCAAGGGGATCACCTGAGGGAGATGAAGGTGCAATTCCGTGTCGAGGAGCGCAACGGTAACTACAGAGAAGCCTCTCGCTATGCTAACAAGATCGCGAACTCGCTCAAGGACGCGGGGTCCTACCATAAAGCCCTGAAATGGCTCAAGCGAGACTACGATTACACGAACCGCGCGATAGACCAGCAACGGCACAAGACGAGAAAAACTCCGTCAACGTCAACGTCAGCGTCAGGTCAAGACATGCGATCCGAGTCCCAGGAGGATGAAGGAGATCTTCAGCGGGACCTGCTCATGACTCTTCAGAGCCTGGGAGAGATATACCTTCGGCTGCAGAACTTCCAAGAAGCCATTTCCTACTCGGTTAGCGTTTGCTCCGTCGTCCACTCAACGTATCGTCACCATTATCACGTCGTAGTCATTATCATAGTTCAAAATCACATTTCTAGGACAAGAATGATTCCAGATTAAAGCTCCTGCCCCCGCATCCCCGAGTTGACCCTCGCTTTTCTCTCGACCTTTCTAATCCCGCCACTCCATTCTCGCTTGAATAAGATGCTTGTATGAGTCGTGTCACTTTTCGGAATTTCTCCTAGAGTCCCCTTTCCGCCTATCTTTTCCCAGGCACGGCAGGGACTACATGCAAGCGAGGCAAATGGCGGGCGCGGCGGAACATAGTAAATTCAGGATCGACATGCGCCACGAACTGGCGAGACGGATGCAGGACGCCGTGGGATACGGTATAAGCTTTTCTCTCCACCCGTCGTCCCCCTTTCCAATGCATCTCAGAAGCGGCATTACGAGCTGGCGATGTGGATGCAGGACGAGGCGGAGCAGAGTGAAGGACTCCTCATAGAGTAAACGAGAGAGTATGGAACGCCCCTTTCTACCCATCCCCTCTCCGCCCCTCTTCTTGCACTCCAGGAGCGTCACTACGATCAGATGCGGTACTTGGTGGGGCAGTGTAAAAGGGTATGACCTCCATCTTCTACCCGTTCCCTTTTCGCGCGTATCCGGCACTAAGAACTGGCGGACGCAGATGCAGGACGAGGTGGAGCAGAGTCAAGGGTACGAGAGGGTCTGACCCCTTTATTTCCACCCGTTCCCCTCTCGCCCCTATCCTTGCACTCCAGGAGCGGCACCAAGAGCTGGCGACGCAGATGCAGGACGAGGGCGAGCAGAGTGGAGGGTACGACAGAGTATGACGCGCTTCTTTCTATCCATTCTCCCCTCCTCGCCCCTCTCCTCGCACCTCAGGAGCGGCACTACGAGCTGGCGGTGCAGATGCAGGACGAGGTGGAGCAGCAGCGCTCCTCCACGCAGCTCGGGCGGGCCTATTTCGACTCCTTCACCTCTGGCGGGGACGCCGCCGCCGCCGCCGGCGCCGACATCGAAGCCGCGCTGGAGCAGCAAGCCGCGTCGATGCAGACGCTGAAATCCGCGCGCAAGTATTTCCAGCTCTCGCTGCGGCTGGCGAAGGGTCTACACGAGGGGTGGGAGGGGATCGGCGGAGCAGGCGCGCGCGCGGGCGGGAATGGGAGGGCGAGAGGGGTCCGCGCGGGCAGGAGCGGCGGCGGAAGTGGGGGGAGGTCGTCGGGGGGGAATCGGCGGTTCGCGCAAGAGCTGGCGGATGCGTATAACAACGTGGGGCTGCTGTTTGAGGAGGTGGAAAGCTACGATGAGGCGGTTAACTGTTTCGATCGCGGGCTGGAGGTGGGTGTTGGGAGGAGGGTAGGTTTGTGGAATGTCCTTCCTCTCCATTCTCCCTTCCGCCTCTCCCAAACCCCTGGCTTTTCCCCTTCGCCCTCGCTCGCTTCCCTTCCCACTTCCCTTCCCCCTGGCTTTACATGTCCCACGCCATCTCATACTCTATCCCCCATGTGTCATTTCCCCACTTCCACCCCCCCTTCCCCCCCTCCCCGGCCCAGCCCTCTGACTTTGCCTCTCCTAGCATGTGACGACTCTTGCGATTTTTGTGAGAATTCTATAATCAAACGCCTCCCCAAATCATATCCCCCTCCTGTGCACGTGTGCGAGAGCGGGTGGGATGGGAATTGGGGAGGAAGCGCACGAGTTTAAGGTATATCAAAACTCCATCCCTCTTCCCGCCATTCTCAATGGTCATCCTCTCCCCAACATCCCTTCCCCACCCCCCCGCACGGCCGGTTCCCCCTACGCGCACCCCTCCAGGTGTGCGACGACGAGGAGATTGGGTCAATCGATGAGACGAGACGCGGGCACGGCTGCACAACTCCCTGGGGCGAGTGTTCTGTTCACCAAGTCGTGCCAATCGCTTTCGGGTCGACTCAAAGCCCCCACCCCCACCACTTCCCTCCCACGCGCATCCCTCCAGGTGTGCGACGATGAGGAGATAGGGTCAATCGATGAGACACGCACGCGGCTGCACAACTCCCTGGGGCGAGTGTTCACCAAGTCGTGCCAGTGGGAGCAGGCGCGGAAGCACATTGACATGGATGTGCGGATTTGTGAGCGGCTAAACAATGCCGTGGGGTGCGCCAAGGCGTGGATCAACAAGGGCGACTTTTGCTTCAAGAAGGAGGAATACGACGAGGCGGAGAGGGTGAGCGGGTGGTTTGAGAAGGAGGCGGGGTGGGCTGACAGGGCGGCTTGGCTTGGGAGGAGCAGGGCAGAGTGTTTGAGTGTGTCTGAGTGTGTTTGAGTGTGTTTGAGTGTGTTTGAGTGTGTTTGAGTGTGTTTGAGCGGCTGAACAGCTCCGTGGTTGCGCCAAGGCGTGGATAAATAAGGGCGACTGCTGCTTCCGGAAGGAGGAGCGTGAGGAGGCGGAGAGGGTGAGTGGGTGGAGAAGGTGAGTGGGAGGAGAGGGTGAGAGGGAAGAGAAGGTGAGAGGGTAGAGAGGGTGAATGGTTGGTTCTGGTAGTAGTAGAAGTGACGATGAGTGAGTGGGTCCTGTAATCCCCCAACAAATTCCAGTGCTTCTGAGCCGTTTCAGGCCTTTGAGCGGGCAAGAGACGTAGCACAACAGGTAGAGGACGAGATGATTCAAAGCTATGGCCTTCATCTCAACTTTTCAAACTTCCTGTGTCCACCCAGGATTTAGGGTTTAAGCGGGCAAGGAACATATTGCAGCAGGTAGAGGACGAGGCGGCGCTATTGGCGACGCATAGGCCATTCCTGTACCCCTGTTCTCCATGTGACCCACATAGGCCATTCTTGTCTTGTACCCGTTCCTCTGAGTCACCCAGGCGTTTAGGCGGGCGACGGACATATTGCAGCAGGTAGAGGACAAGGTGGCTCTAACTCCATTGCCTTTTTACTCAATTGCTTATCAACCCTCCCGTGTCTACCCAGGCCTTTAGGCGGGCGAGGGACATATTGCAGCAGGTAGAGGACGAGGAGGCGTTATTGGCGACGTGTGAGAGCAATCTGGAGAACGTGGCAGAGGCCAAGAGGCAGAAGGAGTATTGCGAGCAGCTGTGGGGGCAGCACCGCAAGACACAGCGGCTGCTGGAGCGAGCAGGGTAATGCGAGTGTGCTTGCGTGTGTTGTGGACTTGGATTTGGCTTTGGTGTGCTTGTGCTGCTCCTGTCTGTGGGTGCAGAACCGCAAGACACAGCGGCTGCGGGAGAGAGCGAGGTGAAGCGTGCGTTTGCATATATTGACGTGATCTGTTTTTCCTGCTCGTGTCTGTGTGCCGTCTGCGTGCCTGTGTTCGCTGCTCTGTGCACACATGTTGTTGCTTATGGCCGGACGAGCAGGAGATGCAGAAGCTGATGCGTGCCTGTGTTCGCTGCTCTGTGCACACATGTTGCTGTGCATGTTCGTGGCATGGCAGTTCGAGTGAGGAGAAGCAGAAGCAAATTTCGGAGGACAGGCGAATTCTGAAGGAACTGGTGGAAATCGCAACTTTCACGCAGGCTCGTCTCACTGTGAGTTGAATTGCTCCCTGCGGGCTTTGAGTTGCTCAATGCAATATTTGAGACGTCTCATAACTCGAAACGTTCTCAGCCGCCCATTCCTGTCTGTTTTATCTCATTCTCCGTCTGCATCCGCATCTGCATCTACATGATAATCCCACACACACACTCGCACCTCACAGCGCCTAAAGGCAGCAGAGGAGTATGTGCGGCTGGGTGACCGTGCAGCAGACACACTGATACAGTGCGAGGCAGCAGAGGCCATGGCAGATGCATGCTAACCTCCCCGCTGCCCCCTCAGCCCCGCCCCCACGTGCCACTATTCCTGTCTCGTTCACTGTCTCCCTGCAACCATGTCCATTCCACCTCGTAATCACCTCTCCCTGTCGTATCTCCTCTCCATCTCTCCCACACACACACACACACACGCTCACACACACACCTCACAGCGCCTAAAGGCAGCAGAGGAGTATGTGCGGCTGGGCGACCGGGCAGCAGGCACACTGATACAGTGCGAGGCAGCAGAGGCGATGGCAGAGGCGTGGTACAACCTGTATGACCTGGGCAAGGCGTGGCGCTGGTACCATGACTCGCTGGGGCTGAACCGACGGCTTAAGATCAAAGAGGTGTGTGCGGCACACTCCTTTTGAGGCACCTCAAAAGTCTGTGCCAAGGCGTAGTGCTGGTGCCATGACTCACTGGGGCTGAATCGGAGGCTGAAGAATGAAGATCAAAGAGGTGTGTGCGGCACACACCCACACGCACTCCCTCTCCCCGTCTCGTTTCTATCTTGCCTTTGTGCTCGTTGTACTCACGCACCCTCCTTGTTCTGTCTCTCTCCTGTTCTGAGACGTCTCAAGACTCCCACACTCACTGCCTCCTTCTGCTCATGGCTTGCCCTCAACCCACCAGGGAGAAATTAAGAGCCCTTGTCGAGAATATCAACAAGGATTTTTCTCCACACTCGATGCCTCTCCCTCTGCTTCCTGATTGCTGTCACCAGGGCGAGTTTGTGGGGCTGATAGGCTTCCATTGGCAGCATAAATGACACAAGGTTGGATTGGAGCACACCACACACAACCACGACTATCAAGGCGTCTCAGGACTCCACATTCGATGCTTTTCTTTTCTCCGATTCCCGCCCACCCGCCCTCACCCTCACCAGGGCGAGTTTATTGCGCTGATAGGCATTGGCAACGTGAGTGATGCAAGGTTGCAGCACGAACAGGCACTGGAGTATTTCCAGCAAGCGCTGCTGTGAGTGCAGAGGGAGAGGGAGTGAAGATGGGGAGGGGAGGACATATGGGGAAGAAGGGGGAGGATAGAGGTGGGATAGGGGGAGGGGAGGACTTGAGGGGGAGAGGGGGAGAATGGATCAGATTGCTCTCTGGTTCCCGCACTTCCTTTGTAGTACCTGTGATCCCTTACACCCCGGATGGGTCGACTTGCTTTAAAATGTCTGGAATCTTGCCCTCTAATCTGGGGCCTTGAGAATTCCAAAAAGACGTATGCAATCTCACCACCTGCTCGTGCTCTTGTTGTGGGGGTGGGTTGACCTGGCAGGGTCGCAGAAGAGGAGGAGGAGCAGGAGCAGGGCAGCGAGTTGGCAGTGCAGCGAGCGTGGGAGCACCAAGTGCTGAGTTTGAACAACATGCAATATGTGTACTCCATGCGGCTCTGCGATGTCAATAAGGCCCTGTGAGTGTGCGACAGGATGGGAGGGGGAAGCAGGGAGCGAGGGAAGCACGAGTTGGAAGGGAGGGAGTGGGGCTGGGTGATGGCAGGGAAGGCAGCAGCAGATGGTATTCTCGGTGCGAAATTCTGATGTTACGGCATGGTGCTGAAACTACCTACTCAGAATTCCATGTTTCCTTCCTCCCCTTCTTTTCTCTGCCTCCCGGACTCTTCTGTACAGGGAGGTTTATAGACGCGTATGGACTCTTAAACAGAGAATTGCAGAGACGAAGGCGGAATCGGGAGATCACAGTCCAAGGGATGATGCCGCTGCTGCTGCTGCTGCTGCTGCAGCTGCTAATGCTGGTGACGATGATGATTCTGATTCTGATGACGATCTATTTACTACTGATCTAGGCCAAAACGATGGCAGATTGACTGGGGGCAAGGGTGGTGCTTCTCGTGCTGGTGGCTCTACTGCTCCTGCCGCTGCTGCTGCCAAAACTGTTGCTGCTGGTGGCACTAGTGGCGGCAGCAGTGGAACAGAAGGCGTGAAGAGGGGGACAAGGGGCGTTGCAGCAGATAGGGTGAATTCTGCGACGAAAGGAGGGCAGGCAGCAAGTGGTGCAGGTGCTACTGGGGCTGGTGGTACTGGAAAATCAAGAGGTGATCTAACCATTTCGGAAAGGTTCAAGCTGAAGAGACAGCAGCAGACGCAGCAGCCACAGAAAAATCCACCACAGCAGCAGCAGCGATTTTCCAGGCTGCATAAGCGAAAGCAGGAGCAGAGTCAGCAAGGTCTCAATGATTCCGGTTCCGGCTTGAGGCGACAGATGGAGGAAAAGAGACCGGAGCGAGGGCGGATGGAGCAAGAGCAGGTGGGGTTGGACGAGTTGGAAGACTCGCCTGGGGACTCTTTCCCCACTGAGCCTCTGCCTACCACCACCACTCGTCGTGCTGCTGGTGGCAGAGGGGGCAGGGCTGGAAGGGCACGTGGAAGGGCATTTGAGGAGGAGGCGGAGGAGGAGGATGACGTGGTGGAGATGGATGCGGGGGAAGTTTGGAGGAGTGAGGCTAGGCAGGACCAGGGTCAAAGAGTGGCAACTTCAGGAGGGACACCTGAAGAGAAGAGCTGCTGTGAGGAAGCTGCAGGTTTGGCAGGAAGGAAAGGTGCAGCAGGAGTGAAGGGAGGTGCTGTGGGTAACGGGGGTGATGAAGAAATGGAAACGGGTGTGGTGAAAGCAAGAGTGGTGAAAGGAGGGGCGGTGAAAGTAGGGGTGGTGAAAGGAGGGGTGGTGAAAGGAGGGGAGGTGAAAGTAGGGGCAGTGAAAGTAGAGGCGGTGAAAGTAGGGGCGGTGAAAGGAGGGGCGGTGAAAGGAGGGGCGGTGGAGGAAGTGATAGAGATAGCGGACGACAGCACTGATGAATTGGAAGACTCGCCCGAAGACGTAATCTTTCCACGCCGGCATATTCTGCGCGGAAAGAAAATCAGCGCTCGTGCTGGTGCTGGCGCTGCTGCTGCTGCTGCTGCTGCTGGTGGTGCTGCTGCTGCTGGCGCTGGTGCTGCTGCTGCTGGTGCTGCTGCTGGTGGTAGTGGTGGCGGTGGTGTTAGGGTTGATCGTGGTGCTGCTGCTGCCTTGGTGTTTCTAGACGCAGATACTGCTGATGAGGCTTTTAGTGGCGGGCAGGGTATGGCTGAAAGCCTGAGGGAGGAGGGGGAGGGCAGGGGGATTCGTGAGGGGCATCAGAAAGAGGCTTGTGGTACCAAGCAGGAGATGGCTGAAAACCCAAGGGAGCAGCGGGGGGTGGTTGTTGAGGCACGTGAATCAGGGGCTTGCAGTCGCAAGCAGGAGGAGGTAGTTGAAAGATCAGCGGAGGGGAGCAAGGGGGTGTTAGAGGGGCCGACTAAAAAGGCCTGTAGTGGCAGGCAGGAAGTTGGTGAAAGTCAAAGGGAAGAGGATGATGATTGGGAGGCCGATGGGAGAGATGGAGATGGGTGGGCGGACGATTGGAAGGAGTTGGGTGTGGTGGGAGGAGATGGGCAGGGAGAGTTGAAAGAAGAAGAGTTGTTCGATTATCTGTTGCAGCAAGGAATTGCAGGAGGGAGGGCTGGGGTTGCAGGAGAGGGGGTTGGAGAATCAGGAGATGGGGGGAGGCAGGAGGGAGTAAGTGGAGGGAAGGACGGAGGGGAGGGAGATAGGGTGGAAGGGGTGGGAGGAGGAGGATTGAGTGGGGCAAAGCAGGGGCAGCTGTATGAATCAAGGAGTGTTGGTGATGTACCTTCTCCCCCTGCTCCCCCTGCTCCCCCTACTCCCCCTGCTCCCCCTGCTCCCCCTGCTCCCCCTACTCCCCCTGCTCCCCCTGCTCCCCCTGCTCCCCCTGCTCCCCCTGCTCCCCCTGCTCCCCCTGCTCCCTCTGCTCCCTCTGCTCCCTCTGCTCCCTCTGCTCCCTCTGCTCCCTCTGCTGCAGCTGCTGCGGCCGCTGCTGCTGCTCCTGCTAATCTAGCTTCTCCTCCTACTGCTCCTGCTGTTCCTCATTCTTCTGCTGCTCCTGCTCCTGCTGCTCCTTTTGCTCCTGCTCCTGCTGCCTCTGCAGATGCAATGAGCCGCAGAGGTGAAATTGGAAAAGTGGGGGGATTTAGAAACGAAGGTGCGGGTGGTGATGGAAGACAGGGAAGGGCATGGTATGGAGGGATGGAAGAGATAGTGATGGACTCAGAGGGTGAGGAGGATGAAGCTGATGAAGCTGATGCTGCTTGTGCTGATGCTGGCGCTGATGCTGGCGCTGATGCTGGAGCTGATGCTGGCGCTGATTCTCAGATGATGGTGATGATGATGGATTCAGACGATGAAGCAGGTGATGCTCGTGCTGCCCATGCTGATGCAACTGCTGCTCAAGTGACGGATGCTCGCGCTCGTCCTTCTATTGCCACTGCTACTGCTCCCAAGACCCGTGCTCCTGCTCCTGCTCCTGCTCCTGCTCCTGCTCCTGCTCCTGCTCCTGCTCCTGCTCCTGCTCCTGCTCCTGCTCCTGCTCCTGCTCCTGCTCCTGCTCCTGCTCCTGCTCCTGCTCCTGCTCCTGCTCCTGCTCCTGCTGCTGCTCCTGCTCCTGCTCCTGCTCCTGCTCCTGCTCCTGCTCCTGCTCCTGCTCCTGCTCCTGCTCCTGCTCCTGCTCCTGCTCCTGCTCCTGCTCCTGCTCCTGCTCCTGCTCCTGCTCCTGCTCCTGCTCCTGCTCCTGCTCCTGCTCCTGCTCCTGCTCCTGCTCCTGCTCCTGCTCCTGCTCCTGCTCCTGCTCCTGCTCCTGCTCCTGCTCCTGCTCCTGCTCCTGCTCCTGCTCCTGCTCCTGCTCCTGCTCCTGCTCCTGCTCCTGCTCCTGCTCCTGCTCCTGCTCATGCTATTGCTAATGCTGGTGCTCATGCGATTCCTCCTGCTGATGTGCATCGGTACGATAACAATCTCTCCGTTCCTCGTGCTCTCGCAGAGGAAGAAGCAGTGCGAGCGGATGTGATCGGGCAGGAGAAGCTGGAGGCTTCCAGCCTTGCAGAGAGTAGGGCGGGGAAAAGGGGAAGGGAAGACGCAAGTAAGCGGGGACACGGGAGTGTTGGGGGGACTGTGGAGGGAGCTAGCAGGAGGTGTAGCAAGGCCAGGAGAAGTATAGCGTTCGGTGGAGCAGATGGGGTTGAGGGGGCTTGTCGTGCTGCTGCTGATGCTGCTGCTGGCGCTGCTGGTGCTGCTGGTGCTGCTGGTGCTGCTGGTGCTGCTGGTGCTGCTTGTGATGCTTCTTCTGGTGCTGCTTCAACTCACAAGGCATGTGCAACAGCTTCAACTGCTACAGCTGCACCAGGATTCTCCACACCTCCGGTGACCATGGCAGCAGCAGCAGCAGATGCAGTAGCTGACGCAGCAGCAGAGGCAGCAGCAGCTGAAACAATTACGGCGTCAGGAGCAGCACGACCGGCAACAGCAGCACCAGGTTTCTCAACACCGCCTGTAGCCAAGGCAGCAACAGACGCAGTAGCAGATGCGACAGGTAAGGCATCAGGAGCAGCAGCACCACTGGGACCAGCAACACCAGCCGCAGCAGCGGTAGCATCAGGAGCAGCTGCAGCAACCGCAGCATCAGCAGCTACAGGATCCCCAGCAGCAGCTGCTGCAGCAGTAGCAGAGGCAGCGACAACAGCTGCTGCACCAGCAGAAGCACCAGCAGCAGCAGAGGTAGCACCAGCTGTATCAGCAGCAGCAGCAGCAGCAGCAGCAGCAGCAGCAGCAGCAGCAGCAGGAAGAGGTGGTGCTGTAGCGTCATCCCAACCACTGCAGGCACACCTGCCCCCATTTGTGCTCGTTCAAATGGGGTCTGACTGCCTTCAAGTCGCGCTGCCCCCGTTTGCAACCACGGACAATGATGTAGGGGCAGAGGCGGGAACTGCATGGGGACGGAATCAGAAGCAGCAGCAGCAGCAGCATCAGGGGCAGCAGGGGCAGCAGCAGCAGGAGCAGGAGAAAGTGCAGGGACAGGTGCGGGGAGATGAGGAGGTGACAGTGGGGTGGTTGATGCGACAACTCGAGCTAGAATACCTTGTGCTACATGCAGACGGTATGTTCTCCTCCTCCCGTCCTTCCCCCCCCCTCTCCCCCCAAATCTCCCTCACTTTCACTCCCGTACACTCCCTCTTAATCTCTTTCAACTCCCCTCACACCCGTCTCTCCCTCGCCGTTTCATCACTCATACACTCTAGCTCGAGCCGGAATGCCTGCTGCTTCATGCAGACGGTACATCCACTCCCTCTCCCTTTTTTCACCCCCTCTCCCCTTTTTCACTCCCTCTCACTCCCTCTCACCCCCTCTCACTCCATCTCACTCCCTCTCACTCCCTTTCACTCCCCTCTCTCCGACGCCCTCGTTTCTTTTCTAATCCCTATTCTTCTTGCCCTGTATCCCCTTATACCCCTCAATTCCCCCCTTTGTTTCCCTTCTGCTCCTCCAACCCCAACCACAGGTCCCTGCCCAATCGTGCGCCGACTCTCCCTCAGCAACGTTGCTCTTTCCCCCTCCTTGCCTCTGCACGTGGCTCTCACTCTCGCTTCCCCAACCGTACCATGTGGAAGCGTAGGGGGCAGGGGGGGCAGCGGGGGCAGCGGCTCAAGCCCGTGCCAGTCCCAGCTGCAGCAGCAGAATGCCATGCAATCGACCGCCAACGGTTCTCATTCCTACTGCCCTGCATTGGTTGCCCACATCACTGGTACGCTTTCACACAGTGAGGAAAGCCTTTTGGAGTCGACAGGAAATACACCTGTACAGCCCCCACTTCTGAGTCAACTCAAAAGTCAGGAAATACTCCTGTACGGCTCCCACCTGTACGGCTCCCACCTGTACGGCTCCCACCTGTACGGCTCCCACCTGTACGGCTCCCACCTGTACAGCTCCCACCTGTACAGCTCCCACCTGTACAGCTCCCACCTGTACAGCTCCCACCTGTACAGCTCCCACCTGTACAGCTCCCACCTGTACGACTCACACTTCTATTGCCCTGGAAGTATTGAGGTGTCTCACCTAAACTTATCTCCCCTCTCGCTGTGCCTACTGGTGTATGCAGGTTGGCGGGCGCCGTCCCTCTCCCAGACCTACCACTTGGCATGCATTGAGCACGGCACACCCCCCTTGCTGCCCATCAAACACGCGCTCTCACACATGGTAGCCTTCTGCATTTCCGTGCTAATCACTCCCTTCGCCTCTCGCACCTGGTACTGTCTCCTTACCCTCATGCGTTTACGTACTGTTCCCTTGCACTTTCTCCCTTTGTTTTCTGAGAGTTCTCAAAGCCCATCCTACCAGCATGTGCTCGTTTGTTGCACCCACTTCTGCTGCCCGTGTTCTCTGCACCTGCGGCGTGTGAGACACTGAATTACCTAAACGCAGGGGTGGTCTCTGCGAATGGTCCTGGACGGGTGTCTCCCCCTTCACTTAACGTGTTTTGAGACGTCTCAAAACTGAATCACCTGAAGGCAGGTGTGTTCTCTGCGACTGGTCCTGGGCGGGTGTCTCCCCCCTCCCTTAACGTGTTTTGAGACGTCTCAAAACTGAATCACCTGAAGGCAGGTGTGTTCTCTGCGACTGGTCCTGGGCGGGTGTCTCCCCCCTCCCTTTCTTAACGTCGTGTGAGTGTGTGTGTGTGTGGTTTCCTCTTCCCGCTTCTCCAGGTCCATTCTCTGGAGCGCATTTGCCTGCCAGGGCTGGGGCTCACAGACGAGCAGGCAGCGCCACGTGATGATAAATCTGTTCTGAGACGTCTCAAGTCAACCCAACCTCCCACCCGCCTGCCCGCCCGCCCCTCCAGGTTCATTCTCTGGAGCGCATTTGCCTGCCAGGGTTGGGGCTCACAGACGAGCAGGCAGAGCCGCTGCTGGATGCTGCTGCATGCATGCCTGCTCTAACCTTCCTCAACCTCTCACATAACCAACTGGGTATGGGTATCTGTATGTGTGTGGTAGGTGGGGGTGGGAGGGAGGGAGAGATGGTGTGCATGTGTGGTTGCATGGGTGCGTGGTTGCGTGGGTGCATGTATGCATGGGTGCATGGTTGCGTGGGTGCATGTATGCATGCGTGCGTGGTTGCGTGGGTGCATGTATGCATGGGTGCGTGGTTGCGTAGGTGCATGTATGCATGCGTGCGTGGGTGCACGTTGCACCACCGCCATCGCAAGAAGTGTCCAGTCGTCCGTCCCCATGCACGCAATCTGTACACTGGCCCTCGTCCCTCCCAGGCTGTTTGGTCCTTCATATGATTCGCCAGTAGGCTCCTCAAAAGTCACCTCATACGAATCGTTCTCTATCCGTCCGTCCACATGCATGCAAGCTGTACATTGACCCTCGTCCCAGGCTTTTTGTCCTTCATACATACGGATTGCCTAAATTTGAGGCTCCTCAAATGTAGCACCTTGCACCTCATAGGAATCGTTCTCTATCCGTCTGTCCCCATGCATGCATCTTGCACCCTTGGCCCAGGTTGCTCCTCCCTCATAAAGATTGCCACCTTGTTCCAGCAGCGACTGCCTGCCCAGCAGCAGATGCATCATCAGCAGCACCACCACTCCCCACCCGCAGCAGAAGGCACAGCTGCAGGAGTAGCAACAGCAGGAGGGGGAGAAGGAGGAGAACGAAGAAGAGAAGGTCCAGAAGGGGCAAACCCAGGGGCAGCAGCTGCAGCGACTGCCGCCGCCGCAGCAGCAGCAGCGTTAGGGTATGCGCCACTGGGGGAGTCATGTCTGTCGGCGCCGCTGCTATCTCTTGACCTGCATGCCAACTGCATCACCTATGAGGCCCTTCGGTCCCTTGTAAGCCGCGCTTGTACTCACTTGGGTATGTGGACGCCAAGGCATTGCAAGGAAGTAGCAAGAGAGTAGCGAAGGAGTAGCAAGAGAGTGCGAAGGAGTAGCAAGAGAGTGCGAAGGAGTAGCAAGAGAGTAGCGAAGGAGTAGTAAGGGAGTATAAGAAAGTGTGGGCGGGCCCTGTTTTTCTGTCTTTGAAACTGCTTGCCAGTGACATAACCTCGTAAGCTGCAGTGGAGTGCAGTGGAGTGCAGTGCCGTGCAGGGCTCTATTGTGCTGCTCTGTCCGTTTCTGTGCCGTCTCTCTTCAATGACTCCTCTCCCCTTTCCCCACCCCCTCTCCCCCGCGTCCCTCGTTCTCTTCCCCTCCTTCCCTCCCCAAACAGCTCAAATCAACATCCCCCTTTCTGGCGTACCTAAGTCACATTGACATCTCACACAACCCCTGGATACCGCATGCGTTTGCCCTACGCTGCGACAACAGCTGGGCTACTGGTCTCTTGCGTCTGCTACTCCTCCGCTGCTCCTGTACGTACCGATTTATTAGTCGACTCAAACGTCATCTCACACAACCCCTGGATACCGCAAGCGTTTACCCTACGCTGCGACAACAGCTGGGCTACCGGTCTCCTGCTCCCGCTGCTGCTGCGCTGCTCCTGTGCGTACCTTAAACCCAAAAGTTTGCACCCTACACCCAAAGTCAACCGCTGTTGGTGCTGCTGCTGCTGCTGCTGCTCCTGCTGCTGCTCCTGCTCCTGCTGCTGCTGCTCCTTCTTCTGCGTCTGCAACATACTCCTTCCTCCTGTGCTGCTTTGAGGCACATCAACAGCCGATCCCCGGCATTTCCCTTCCCCTTTTTCTCGATCCTCTCTGCAGCCCAGCCGTGTATTGCGCTACTTTTGAGGCACCTCAAAAGTCCCCGGCATTTCCCTTTCCCCTTTTCTCGCTCCTCTCTGCAGCCCGGCCATGCTGTCAGTAGCGGACAGGTCGGCTGCTGAGGTCTACTTTCCATATCCGCCTGTCCACCAACCCACCTGTCCTTTTCTCGCTCCACCTCTCTGCACCCTGGCCATGTATTGTATTGTGCTACCTGCTGACATGGATACCGCCACACCCTCCCATCTTGCAGGCGCCTCTTTCCCCTCTACTCATCTCCCCTCCCATGCTTCCTCTCTCCCACTTTGTCTCTCACGCTCCCCCCCACCCACCCATGCTCCTCCTTGCAGCCCTCTCGTCAATTGTGCTACGAGCTGACGTAGACGCGGCTCACACTCCCACCTTTCTCTCCAGAGCCATTCTCAAGCTCGCTGCTCCCGCCTCTCAAAGCCTAAACTGCTCCCCTCCTCCTGCTCCACAATCCACCTCAACACCAGCAGCGTCACCAGCAGCACCACCACTATCAGCAGCAGCCGGGGCAGCATCACCACCAGCAGCAGCAGCAGCAGCGGCACTGCAATCACCATCACTACCACCATCGGAAGCAGCTGCTGCTGTGCTGCCACCTCTCTCTCGCATCTCACTCGGTGCGTTCCTCTCCCTGCCTGTGCCTTGTTTGTGTGCTCTACAAGCTGATGCAAGAGTCGTCTCTTGATCAAGAGTGTGATTCTCTCTTGGCGCCTAGCCTCCTTCAAGAGTCCTCTCTCTCACTTTGTGTCTCTCCCCACACGTAAACTGAGGCGATTCTTGAGGTGCCTAAAAAATTGGCTAGCGTCGCTCAGTGTGCAGGCCTCTTCTTTCTTTCCCTCCCCTCGTCTCTCTCCTCTCCTCTCCTTTCCTCCCCTATCGCTCAAGCTATCTCCTCTCCTCCCTTTCCACTTCCTCACGCCCACAATGACCCTTACAGACGGCTGCAAGGACATGTCCGTCACAGCACTCTCTCGCCTCTTCTCCGCCCTCTCCTCTCCTCTCCTATCCTCTCCTCTCCTCTCCTCTCCTTTCCTCTCCTCCCTCACCCCCACACCCACCCTCCATAGCTCCAAAAGACGGCTGCAAGGACATGTCTGTCACAGAAATCACTCGCCTCTTCTCCTCCCAGCTCTCCTCATCTCCTCACCTCCCATCTCGCTCAACCACCCTCCTCTCCTCTCCTCCCTCTTCCCACGCCCACCATCCCTCCCACAGACGGCTGCAGGTATATGTCCATAAGTGCACTCACGCACCTCTTCTCGTCACCTCCCACCTCGCTAAACCTCTCTCCTCTCCCGTCTTCTTCCTTACCGTCCCCCACACCCACCCACCGTGCTTCCCACAGACGGCTGCAGGGATATGTCCATAAGTGCACTCAAGCGCCTCTTCTCCGCTCTCTCCTGCCTTCCACTGTACGTCCTTTCCCTCTCACTTGATGCGCCTCAATAGTCGTCCCACTGTACGCTTCGACGCCCACCCCCCTCTTTCTTCCGCCTCTCTCCCTCCCTCTCACTTCTCCCTTTTATCGCCCCTGCTAATGGTCTCGCGCACCTTTACCAGCTCCAAAAAGTGTGTTCTGTTCCATCATTGAACCAAAACGTATGCACTCTCATATAAACCATGATTGGAATTCCGTGGAAAACTGCGGATTAACTACCAAAACTGGGAAGGAATCAAAGCCGGAGGGAATGGAATGCTTGGACCGCCTAACATACAATGAAATTCCAAATCATGAAAATTGGTTTATGCCATTCAACACCCCCTCCTGCCTCCCTCTCTCCCTCCCTCCCCACCAGTCTGCAGGATCTCTCTCTGCCCCGCCTGCCTCTCGACTGCCCTCAAGCGGCGGCTGTCTTTGCTCGCTTCCTCCTCTCCTGCCGCCGCCTCTGCTCCCTGCGCCTCCCTCATGCCACATTCTCCATGGTTTGTTACGTTGTGTCGTGAGCCCCCATACCTTTAGGCGAGTTGTGAGTTTACTCAAAACAAGTCGCCGTGCTCCCTGCGCTGCGCCTCCCTCATGCCACATTCTCCATGGTATGTTATGTTGTGTTGTGAGCGCCCAAGCTTCTAGGTGAGTTTTGAGTTGACTCATGAGTCGCTGTGCTCCCTGCGCCTCCCTCGCGCCACATTATCCATGGTATGTTATGTCGTGTTGTGAGCCCCCATGCCTTGAGGCGAGTTTTGAGTTTACTCAAAACTATTTGCCGTGCTCCCTGCGCCTCCCTCATGCCACTTTCTCCATGGTATGTTACGTTGTGTTGTGTTGTAAGCGCCCAAGCTTCTAGGTGAGTTTTGAGTTGACTCAAGAGTCGCCGTGCTCCCTGCACCTCCCTCACGGAACATTCTCCATGGTATGTTGTGAGTGGCTTTTGTTTTGAGGTGCCTCAAAGTTCTATTCCATCCATGGTATGTTTTGAGCGAACTCCTTTCCTCAAGGGGTGGCATTCTACAATCGTTCGCACAACCATTCCGCAGCCATTTTTCACCCACTCATTCTACCGTTTCTTCTTCACTACCCTCCCCCACAACCGCACCCCCTTCCTTCCTTCTTCCCACCTCCCCGCCACCCCACCATCATGGCTCAGTCGTCTGCATTGGCGTTCCAACAAGCTGTGATGGAAGGAGCATCAGCACCAAGCCACCCTGCACAACCACAGCAGCAGCAGCAGCAGCAGCAGCAGCAGCAGCAGCAGCAGCAGCAGCAGCAGCAGCAGCAGCAGGCAACAGCACAGGCAGTCAGGTTCCATCTGGAGCAGCTAGATCTTTCTGGTGCCCTCATCTCCGCTGCTCCCGCCACCCCTCTCGCCACCGCTCCTCCCACCTCTCCTCCCACCGTGCCTCCATCTCCTGAAGCAGGCCACTGGCCGTTCTTCCTGCCAATGCACCTGCCGGCAACACATGCAATGCACGCAACACATGCACCACCTGCTGCTGCAGCAGCAGCATCGCCTATGGCACCAACTGCACCTGCGGTAGCAGCAGCAGCAGTGTCCCCCTGTCAGCTCACTCAACTCTCTCAACCCTCTCAGCCCTGTGACGCCATGGCTGTGATGCTGCATGCGTTGCTGCCTGCCTCGCCTCGCCTACGACACATCAGCCTCTCAGGCACCCACCTCTCCCGTCCTGTGAGTTCGATGTTCCTCTTCCTCTCCATCTGCTCGACTCTGTTCCCAAGTCCCTATCTCTCCATCACATCAGCCTCTCAGGCACCCACCTCTCTCCACCCGTGAGTTTCCCATGTCCCTCGCACCTCATTCCACCCCCAATCACCCTTCCATCCCTCCCCTTTCCCCCCACCTTCCCCCGGGCCCTCTTGCCGTTACTGAAGCACCCAGCATGCCTTCTCTGCCATGCACGTCCCCACTGGTGACGATCAGGTTACAAGGAACCCAGTTCACATCCAATCGCCCTCCATCCCTTTCTTCCCCTCCTACCCCTCTGCTTCTCCACCTTCTCCCAGGCCCTTGCCCCTGCTGCATCACATGGCGTCCCCTCTCTACCATGCACATCTGCACTTATTGACATATCCGATCTTGTTACTAACTAATCCCACCTCCAATCACCCTCTCATCCCTTCCCTCTCTTCCCCTCCCACTCCTCCCCTCCCCCACCTTCTCTCAGGCCCTTCTGCCCTTGCTGCACCACTTGGCGTCTCCTCTCTGTCACCTTGTGCATGTGGACGTTTCACGATGTACCCTTCACCACCCTTCTGCTCTTGCACTCCTGCAAGCTATGGCAGGTGCGTGCGTGTGTGCATGTGCATGTGCATGTGCATGCCTGCATATGTTTCTTTGCGGCGCCTCAAAAGTCCTCGTGTAATGGGACGATTTTTTTGGTGTCTAAAAAATCTTCTGCTCTTCCACTGCTACAAGCCATGGCAGGTGCGTGCGCGTGTGTGTGGGGGGGGTTGTGCGGGCATGGGTGCATGTGTGCGTGTGTGGGTGCATGTGTGCGTGTGTGGGTGCATGTGTGCGTGTGTGGGTGCATGTGTGCGTGTGTGGGTGCATGTGTGCGTGTGTGGGTGCATGTGTGCGTGTGCGGGTGCATGTGTGCGTGTGCGGGTGCATGTGTGCGTGAGTGGGTGCATAGGTGTTTGTATAAGAACCAGAGTGTGAATTTGGGGGGATAAGGTGGAACAGGAGAGCGAAATGGACGGAGATTGAAGGGAGAGGGGATCCCAGAAAACAACTAGTGAGAGTGAGAGTGAGATCGAGGATAAGTGAGATTGAGAGATAAAGCTTTTGATCGATCTTTTCTATGTTACGCTGTCTCCCCTTGATCCTTAACAGGTCCTTGCCACTGAAATCACTTTTGAGAATTCTCACAAGTCATTTGAGTCTACTCAAAAGTCACGTCTTTTACACTACCCTGCCTCCCCTTAATCCTAACAGGTCCCCGCCACTGCCCAGTCCGCTTCCTCCGCCTCTCCTTCAACCCGATCCTCTCTCCCCCGCCCAACTCCCCCCCCACACCGCCCCGCACTGGCCCTTCCTCCGCCCATGCATCCCCCCCTCCTCTCCTCCCGTCGTCTCCTCCCCTCCCTCCCATCCCTGCACAACCCATGCTGCTTGGTGCTGCTGCAAGCTGCCTACCCACGGCTCCTCTCCATTTCTCCTCTACTGGTCTTCCAGCTGTAATATCACCATCTGTTGGTAAAAATGATGGGCATGCATCTTCTCCTTCTTTTGAGGCGCTTCAAAAGTCTCTTGGTAGAAACGATGGTAATGCATCTTCTCCTCCTCGTTCCTGTGCTGTAAGCCCTTGCCGTAAGGCCGCGTTAGAAAAGCAGGTAGAGGGTTTTATGCAGCAGGCGAAGAGGCAGAAACAACAGGTATGGCAGCAGCAGCAGCAGCAACAGCAGCAGGAGCAGCAGCAGCAACCGCAGCTGCAGGAGCAGGAAAGAGGAAGAGACGCTGACCCGGTAGGCGATTCGAGGCATTTCGAAATGGCGGAGGTACAACTGGGGGAGGTGGAAGTGGTGGAGGAGAGTGAGTATGAGGAAGAGGAAGAGGAAGGGGAACTGGATTGGTGGCCCAACCATTGCAAAGGGGGGATCATAAATGGGTTGTCTGACCAAGCACGAGGTAAGAATGCCAATGATGCTTCAGGAGAAGCTACTTCTGCTGCTGCTGCTGCTGCTGCTGCTGCTGCTGCTGCTGCTGCTGTTCCTGAATTGCCATCGCTCAATGCTGCTGCGACTGCTGCGACAGCTGTGACTGCTGTGGCTGCCCCTGTTCCTGCTCCCCTGGTTTACGATGCTTGTGATTGTCCCGGGAGAGGAACAGGCTTGGGAGGAGGAGGGAGAAAGAGGGGAAGAAAAGACGGGGTTGAAGGTGACTGTGAGCAGGAGATGGGGGCAGTGGATGGGGTCTCAGCAGCGCAAGTTCCAGTAGCACCAGCATGGTCGCCCCCAGCATCACCATCAGTACCAGGAGCAGCACCAGCACCAGCAGCAGCAGAGGAAGGCAGACCAGCAGCAGCAGAGTCAGACCATCCGGACCCTTTTTCCCCAGCCAGTTGCTCCTGGAGGGAAGAAGCTCTCTTACAGCTGCAAAGAGCAGCTCAAATGGCAGGTTTCGGTTGCTGCTGCCTTAGCAGCTCCAGCAACAACAGCCGCTGCAGTGGTGCTCGAGGCATGAGTGGGAGTATTGGCAGCAGTAACAGCAGAGGAGGAAGGGGGAGGGCAGGCGATGGTGGTATGCTGGAGGTGGATGGTTGTGGCTTGTCGTCAGAGGAGTATGATTTGCTGCTAACATGTGGTGATGTTGGTTGTAGGAAGAGTAGGGCTGTGTGTGGTGGTGCATTTGGAGATAGAGCCGCAGGTGCTGCTGGTGCAGCTGCTGGTGATGGGTTTAATGGGCTTGCAAGTGCTTTGGTCCCGCCTCATCACTGCGACTTTTGCAGCGAGTGAATGGTGTTTTGTTGCTTGTTTAGTTCACTTTTGCATGCTAGTAGTGCATCGCGATCAGCATAGATTCTCATTGAACGCATCTCACAATGATGGTTTACCAAACAGTTATTGTGGGAACTGGTAGTGGGTTTTGGAGGGCACCAAACCAGTTTATCATATGGCTTTGTTGAGGATTAAATAAGTGCAATATAAGCAGAATGGTTCACAACCTGAATTGTAGATGCACATAGCCTTCAAACCTCATTCTCAAGCACCAATGATTGTGACAGTTGGTGTCACCAAGTCAATGAATTATTAGTGGGACATCTCTGCGCTTCGGCGAGGGAATTCACACGATAATGACGTGATTCATACCACATCCCCGAGCCTAAGTCAGCACCGAAGTTGGCGTTCCGAGTCGAATCACTCCGCAACTGTGATAGAGTTCCCCCAAACTCTGCCTCGGCACGAAGACCGCTTTCTGCGCGAACCTTGCCGTGCCAGGCAAGGCGCCGCCGCCTTTCTTGGTGGTGGTGGTTCGGCCCGCGCTTGGTTCCTCATTTGTCGCCGTCACGGTAATCCCCAGGCTGCGAGCAAGTCCTGGGGTCACCCGAACCACACCAGCTTCCATACGTCCCTTCCGCCGGACCTGCGGCCTACCACGAACCGAAACGCCCAAGCTTCCTCCTCGCACCTTTCCTTTCTCGATCTCATCACTCATCTCTTTCTTCCTAGCTCAACTGAACTCCCCTCCTCCCTGCGTAACTTGCGGCCTTTTTCCTTACAGAATTATTTCGCGTCGGTGGTTCATTTTTCGATCTTGACTCATTCTTCTCTCCTTTCTGATCGTCTAGCCATTGTGTTGGATATGCTGACGAAAATAACATTTTCAGCGAGCTTCAGTCCAGTGATTTCAAGCAATTGATAGCGTACTCAAAATAGTATAGGTGTCGTTCCCTGCAAGTGCCTGGGTGTTTCCAGCCAATCAACATTCTCGAACAGTTTCAGGAAAGCGATTATTGAGTTCGGATCAAATTAAGAAGCAAGGCATTTCCTGGTACCGTACTGCTCAGGAGGCGTGCGACAAAGCCTCGTGGACTATTCTATTCTGAAGCTCAGTCATAGGAGCGTCCATCAGAAATACATCGAGCGGCCTCACCGGCCTCACTACTACAGCAGACGTCCACGCGACTCACAGCAGGTCCGTTTCTCTCATACCTCTTACCTTAGCTGCCTTAGCAGACGGTCTTCGAACTGGCGAGCATATTGAAGCGTCACCACCGCAAGAACCAGCGACATGTGTCGCTCGCTGCTTGCTTTCTCGACCCGGCCAAATTTGTTATGATAAAATACTGACACGGCTCACCCGACCAGCGAACGACGTGCCCGTTCCGATCACTTCATTCAGTCTAGCTTGTGGAGATCCTTTCGAACTTTCGAGAGGTGGGTAGCACACCGGGCGAAGCCTTATTAGGAGGTTGCACCTACAGTCGAGTCCATGGCGGCTTTTGCCACCAAGAGTTCGTCGCCCGTCTCTTATCCTCTTCTGTAGGTCTCATGCCTTTGTTGCGGAATCCGCGCTATATCGTCTGTTACACTCTTTACCACTCGTTCCCCCCGACCTTCCATAACAGGTCCGTCATGCCTACCCATCGTCCCCCCATGGATTGCGGCGCGCCGCAGTTTGCGGCTCTCTTCCTCGCCTGCGCGCTGCTCCTAGGTACGCTAGTCGCTTTCACGCTCGAAGCGAAAACCACGCTCCTTTTTGCCGTCGCGCCTCAGAAGCTGGCTTGGTTCGACTTTATCTGCCTCGTACCGTACCTTCCATGGTGTGTGCTCGCCCATGGCTCCTCCTTGGCGCGTGCTGTTGTGCTAATTCGAACCCGTACCTACCAGCTTCGAGAGTTCCTCATACCCGCCTCGCATGTACCACGAAGTCGCTTAGCTTCAAAAAACTTATGAATATACGTAAAAGCAGCGTCGAGAGATTGCTTGTCTCGCATGTGGTTGTGGTGTTTGAGAGTTTCCAGAAGCAGCTAACGATGCCGTGTGGTCTCAGACTCGGTCATTTGGAAATACGGAGAAGGAAGAAAGCGATAGGAAAGGAAAGGGCGGAAGAACACGATCCGGCGGATACCTGATGTCGTGGAACCGCACGGCATCGCTAGGAACGCGGATCTCTTCCCATTCTCTTCTAGTGCATACCGCACTCCAGAGTCCAGATACACACCTTCGCCTCCCCTCCACTCTTACATATAACCTCACCACCACAGCCACTTCGTGCCAGCGGCATGGTGAAAAGGTGTTCCTTCTCTCCCCTTCGCACCCTGTCCTTCTGCCCACCCGCTACGCACCCGCGCTTCTTCTCGCATTTTCCCCCCTTTCCCGCTCTTCCCCCCTTTTCCCGCTCTTCAACCCTTCCCCCTCCTCCCCCCTGGCTTTCCTAGCGCGGCGGTGCCGGCGGCGGCGATGTTCAAAGTCGCGTCGTGCAAGGAGCTCGTGGCGGCGATGCCTATCTCTTTCCCCCTTCACTCCTTCCTTACTGTCTCTACTTCCCCCCGTTCCCTCCCTCTCGCCTTCCCGACAGTGAGCGCGGCGGTGCCGGCGGCGGCAGTGTTCAAAGTCGCGTCGTACAAGGAGCTGGTGGTGGCGATGCAGGCGGGCGGGCCCATCCTCGTGTCGCACTCGTTCTACCTCGACGGGCCGCTGCCCAACGTGTCGCGCCCGCTCACCATTTCCGCCGATCCCGTGTGCAAAAAGACCCAGGTGCGTGTGTGATATATATTCCCGATAGTTTTCCCATTATCTTCCCCAGGATATTCCCCATGATTTTCCCGATTATCTAGGCGCCTGAGAAGCACGCCAAGGTCGCAACACCTCCTCTAAAGTTTCCCTCATATCCTTCCACTTCTCCCTCCCCCCATTCCTCCTCTCCCTCCCTCCCTCCCTCCCTCCCTCCCTCCCTCCCTCCCTCCCTCCCTCCCTCCCTCCCTCCCTCCCTCCCTCCCTCCCTCCCTCCCTCCCACCCTCCCTCCCTCCCTCCCTCCCTCCCTCCCTCCCTCCCTCCCTCCCTCCCTCCCTCCCTCCCTCCCTCCCTCCCTCCCTCCCTCCCTCCCTCCCTCCCTCCCTCCCTCCCTCCCACCCTCCGTCTCCCCTCATCTCACCCACTCCCAGCTTCGATTCTGCCGGCTAGACGGCAAGCGCAAAAACCGTCACTTCATGGTCGTCAAGGGCGGCCAGCTCCGTCTCACCGGCCTGCTCCTCACGCGCGGCCGCCCGCGCTCCGGCAGCGGCGGCTCGATCTGGGTCCTGGACGGAGGCAGCGCGATTCTCAACCAAGTCTACTTCCGCTTTAACGGAATCGGCGGAACCACCGCGTCGGGTGGCGCGATTGAGGTGGACTCGGGCGGGAGCGTCCGCATGACCGCGTGCCACTTTATCCGCAACTTCGCTGGGTTTGGCGGCGCGATTGCTGGCGCGCTGCGCGCGACGGTGGTGGCGGACTATTGTATTTTCCACAGGAATATGGCGTCGACGGCGGGAGGCGCGGTTTCGCTGATTATGGACTCGGCGGGGGTGTTCCGACGACCCAAGTTCTTTGCCAATCTGGCCGGGGTAAGGGATGTTATTGCTCTCTCAAAAACAGAATAACTCTGAAGTTTTTTTCTTTTTGGAAAACAATCTAAGGTTGAAGGGCGTACGCTCTGTTATTTTTTTCTGCTTTCTTCCATTTCATTTTGTTGCCATGCTTTTGCTGCAGATTATAACGTGTTTCCATGTCTCCTTCCCATTTGTGTCATAATTTTCCAGGCGGGCAGTGCAATGCAGGCAGATGGGTCAAAGTTAAACCTGTGCAACGTGCTGTGGTACAACAACAACGCCACTCTCCCTGTAAGCATGCTTCTCCCACCCATTATTCCCTGCAAATCCTGGTGATTCTCATACCCCCTTCTGCTCCCTCTTGTCACAGTCACACTCCTCCAAGTCTTCGGGCACGGTCTTTCCGTTCTTTCTTCCATTCTTCGTCCCTCTCCCTCTCTCTTCCCTCACGTCCTCTCCACTTTCTTCTCTCTCTATCCAGACCATGCATGTGTTGCAAGCATTACTCTCCCTGTGTGCTTGCTGGTTGCGCATCCACTCTGGTTGCTCTTTGACTGACAAACCTGGCCCCACTCATGCCATGTTTGTGCCTCTTCTATTCCCTGCTTTTTCATTCATCATATTTCAGGATACGGCATTCTTGGCGACTGAGAAGAGTGTGGTGACGCTGTGTCGCACGAACCCTGCAATTATTAACGCCACGATGGGCTCTACAGTCGTGCAGTCTTGTGCCTTCTGCCCAGTGCGAAGAAAATAGTGCCTGGTATAGAGTGCACCAGATAAGCAGACATGAAGGCATATTGTGCTCTGGAACAGCCCCATGTTGAGTGAGTAGGGTTTGTAGGGTTGATCAAGCATTGCTATAGGATTGTGAACCTTTGGTTGATCAAGTTTTGTAGCTTCCGTCTTTAACCGGTTTTAGGGTGCTAATCTACAGGGCCACTGCTTCTTGAGTTGATTCGTAGCCGAGTTATTGAGCTGTAGTGGACTTCCCACATGTAAGCGCAACTGAATGACTGATTGCTTTCTAGTTACTTAACATGTTTGTTATTTGCTTGGTGAAGCTCAGCAAAAACACTGAATATGCGTGTTTGCGAGAACGCTTTCCGCTACCGAGGCTAACACTACCGCGCCATGTCGTCCACACTGAGCGAAAAGCGCCAACCTGTCACGAAGAGATGCGAACACGTACCTTCGCCAATCACCAGAAGATCTTTGGCCACGAAAGGAACCACGAAGCACCGCCTCATTCCACAACATCTGTCAGCTGACGTGCTTTTGTCGACGTGGCTCAGGGTACATGTCATCATCAAATCTCATCCACTTACAAATCTTTTGCTGTCACGATGTCCCCGCGCGGTCCCTTCCCCACCAGCCCCTTCAGTTTCCAGCTTCCCGGGTTCCCCAGCAGCTTCACTCGTGCTTCCCCAAGTTTCCCCAGCTCCTCGCATCCCCCCATGCCTGCCTCTGCTCATTCCAACCTCCGCTCATTCCAACTGATGGTTCCTTCCTCCGTATCTCCCCGTCCACATTCCTCCCCCGCTGCCTTTCCCCATTTCCCCGCGGACGGTGTTTTCCAGGGTCCTCCCTGAAACAGACATTTCAATGCAACAGAAGCACCAAGCATATCACTGATGATTCACTACCTGACATAGTAGTTGCAATTGTTCTTTCCTACGTCAGTCCGCAAATCCATCAGCAGCAGCCGTGCCGTGTTCTGCTGCTCGAGCCGACCGACCAGTCGCAGTACACGCTACATCTAGGCTTCCAGAGGTGTCTCGGCTAGCTGCTAGCTGTCGCAGTCTCTTTCTGGTGCGGTAGCCGATAACCACACTCTTTCGCGAGCGAGCTTCTTCGCCATGGCCTGCGCCTCGGCCCAAATCGTGTCGACCTCGCAGCGCCTGCTCGGCGCGCAGGCCATTCCGTCATCTCTATCAGGTGAGATGCGGATCCAGACGGTCAGACACATTGCTGGTTTAATTTGCTGCTAACGTTTGTTACATTATGGAGTTTCCCTGAATAGATGCTCTTAACCTCTCCTCTTCAGTGGATATTTTAACTTACCAATATCCATTGCTGCAATATCACGGCCATAACACTGCGCTCGTCACTTCGCACACTTGTCGAGGATCATCTCGGCCACACGAGATGATCCTCCGCTCGTTGCGCGTGCCGAAATTCGTCAAACACTACCCGCTCCTAGTCCTTATCATTATTTGTTCCTTCTTCTACCCGTTCTCTGTCTCACGCTCTCTTTCGTTATTTTCTTCCACGTGTCATGCTTGGATCCAGAGAGCACGCACGTGACTGTCAGCATCTCGCAGCGCCGAGTCCGGCCGTGCCGAGCAGGTGAGAAGCGGCAGATATCATGAAAAACAGGGAACGGTAAGATTAAACGAAGGAGCAAGTGAGGGAGTGGCTAGAGTACAAATGAGAGCGATGGGGAAGTGGGGGAAGACAGAAAGGCCGGTTCTTCCTTGCTTCTAAGCCTGAAATATTCATAACCCATCTGGTCTGAATTTGTTTTTTCCGCATTCACCCTTTTCTTTACCAATAAAGAGGTGCCATTACCCTTCTCTTCCTCTTCTCCTCCATTGCAGTTCGCCTTTTCAAATCCCCACGAACGAGCTCCGTTGTCCCCCGTTCCGTCACCATCCCCCTTACTCCTTACTCGTTGTCTCTTCTCCCTCCTCTCCCCCCTTCCGCAGAAGCCGCAAAGGCCAACACCTCCGCATCTGACGGCGACGTCTCGCGCCGCTCGCTGCTCATCACCGCGCCCGCCGCTGCCGCCGCGCTGGGCCTCTCTCTCTCCCTCTCCCCGGTCGCGTTGGCGGCGCCGCGCACGGTCCTTCCGACGGAGAGCGAGGAGGAGCTGAAGCTTTGCTCGGCTGAGTGCGAGGCGACACTGGAAGATGTGAGTAGACGAGGCGAGCAAGGGGGGGGGTGGGGGGGGGGGGGAGAGAGAAGGGGAGGATGGACGGGGGGTAGTAGTGTGAGGGAGGGAGGGGAATGAAGTGGGGGTGATGCAGGGAGTTTCATGGAGTGCGTGCGAGCATAGGAAGCGATGTGTTAGCAACAGCTCTTGCGCCATGGTGCCTTACGTCAGGTGAATCGGGTACTTGTTCCTGTAAACTTTTGCTGAAGGCAGGAGGCAGAACAAAACGCAACAATTTCATCACCACCTACCCACTCAAGCCCCCCCAACCTCTCTCTCCACCTCTTCCCCCCATCCCCCCTAACGTACCTCGCAGTTCCCCCTGCAGACGACCCCCTCGGGGCTGCAGTACCGGGACATCGTCGTTGGGCGAGGGCCGTCCCCGCCCATTGGATTCCAGGTCGCAGCTGACTACGTCGCTATGGTTCCTTCCGGGAAGATCTTCGCCAGGTGAGTGTGGTGTGTGTCACACTTCCTTGCCCGCGTTTCCTTTTCTGAGACGTCTCAAGGGCCGTCCCCGCCCGTGGGATTCCAGGTCGCAGCTGACTAGTTTTGAGGCGCCTCAAAACTAGACAACTGTTTTCTCCTTTGCTAAAACCTTCTCCCTTGAACTGCTGCTCGCTGGAATGTCTCTTAATCTGGTCACAGCTGACTACCTCGTCATGGTATCTCTCCCTTGGAAGATCTTCGCCAGGTATCTCTCCCTATCCAGCTTGCTTTCTCGTTTCTCTCTCCAGCCTTTTTTCCCTTCACCGCCTTTCCTCCCTGTCCTCCCTGTCCTCTCTTCTGTCCCTTCCGACGTTGCCTACATTGCACATCCTCTGTCTACCCCACCATTCCGCTGTCATTACCCGCTCTCTCTCCATCGATCTCTTCTGGTGGTGTTCTGCCCTGTTTTTCCCCCCCACTCTACTGCGTTCCTCCTCTCATCGCCTCAGTCAGCTTCATTTGGCCATGTCATCCCTTTGTCGCGCTTTTGTCTATTCTTCTTCTCCTCCTGCTGCTCCCTCTCCGTTTGCTTCATGTGACTAGTCGACATGTAGAACGCCTCAATAATCCACCTTCCCTTCCTGCCACCCCCGTGCTGCCCCTTTCCCCATCTGCCTCCCACAGCTCTCTGGAGAAGAAAATGCCCTACATCTTTCGCGTTGGCTCAGGCCAGGTGCGTGTGTGGTGTGTGGGGCAGGAGTGCGTGCGGGAGTGCATGAGTCTGTGCGTGTGTCGGTGCGTCTGTATGTGCCCTTCCACCTCGCTTTCGCTCCTCAATGCTGGGAAGCACCAGTGATTTCAGTCTTTTAGCACCAGAAAAAAGCTCGTAGAGAAACCAGCTCATGGGAGTGCTTGAGTCTGCTCAACGGGACAATGTGCCTCTTCCTCCTGGCAACCTTTTTAATCTTCTCCCGCCCACCCCATGCGCACACCGCCCCTTCCTCCCCCTCCTACCTCTCCCACTCCCTCTCTCCCATCGCCAGATGCTGGCCGGGCTGAGTTCGTGCATCCTCAAGGCTTGAAATTACTCAAATCACCCTCCTCAACCCCTCTTTGTGCCTCTCTCTCCCTCCTTCCTTCATCTCTCTCCCGTGTGCCCTATGCCCTCTGCCCTCTGCCCTATCTCCAGGTCGTAGCAGGGCTGGACGAGGGTATTCTCACCATGAAGGTTGGGGGCCTGGTGTAGAGGGTGTTTTTGAGACGTCTCATAAATGCCCTATTCTTTATGCCCTGTGCTTTATGCCCTATCTCCAGGTCGTAGCAGGGCTGGATGAGGGCATTCTCACTATGAAGGTTGGGGGCCTGCGCCGGCTCTACATCCCTGGAGAGGTACGGTTACACCTATGGTTGGGTACAGTTGCATCTGTCGAAAGGAGTGGTTCCGTCTCTGGTGAGGTGCGGGTACACCTAAGGTGGGATGTAGCTGCATTTGTGGGAAGGTGCGGTTTCATCAGGTCAGGCTAACATCTCCAAGGAGGTATGTGGACGTTCAGGGGGGGGGGGGGGGAAAGGCACTGTTACATGTGGGAGGTGTCAAGTGAAAATATTTATATGGCCAATTATATCAGTTGTTCTTCCCCCCACCACCCAACCCCCACCCCAGTTCCTTCCACCATTCCTCCCAACATGCCTTTCTTCTCCCCCTTCCCCGTCCTCTCCCAAATCGGTCCTGCTAGATCCCTAGTGTGTCTGCTCCAGTATTGATATGTCTCAACTCTACCCTCGTCCCCCTTGCTCATGTTGCTCCCCCCTCTCCCCTCCCCCCAGCTGGCCTTCCCCAAGGGCCTTGCATCTGCGCCTCATTACATTACGCCATAATGCGTCTCAAATCTCTCCGTGGTCCCCTCTGCGTCTGTTCCGTCTCCCTTTCCCTGCTCCCTCTTCCCCCCAGCTGGCCTTCCCCAAGGGTCTTTCATCGGCCCCTGGCCGTCCGCGTGTGCTGCCCGGCGCCCCTGTGATCTTTGACGTGAAGCTGGCATACGTGCCAGGGCTGGAGGAGGATGAGGAGGAGTGAGAGTGACATTGACAGGATAGGGAGGGGAGGGGTGATGGGGAGTGGTGTGAATGCATGTTGAGCGCGGATATTGCTGTCTGCAACAAGGTTAAGGGGGGGGGCTGATGTGAAGCTTTTTGTCGTGCAAGGGTCTGCAGATTTGACAGAAGTATTTTGTAATCAAGTGTGATGAGTTGTCTAAACGACACCTACCACTAAATGTTGTTTTGGAACAGATTTGCTCTGCACTTTTAAGTGCAGAGCAAATATGGGTAATTTTCAGAAAATGCTGGCAATTGCTTGTAAAACTGGGCATTATCTCTCCATTGATTTGAAGCTGAAAGCCAGTATTTATTCAGTCTTTCCTTCACACAAGTCAAAATGAAGCTGATTCTATACTAATACCGCATTCTCTAGTGTGTACAACACTTGACAAATTCTGTTTCTACTACTTCTGTACTGTATTGTATTGTTCACCCTCTTCAGTCCTCCAACCAGGCCTCCACATTCCGCTTGCTCTGGAATTGCTGGTATGCCGCCTCAAACCCCTCAATCTCTTGCCGGGTACCAGCAGCAGCAGCAGCAACAGCAGCAGCAGCAGCAGCAGCAACAGCAGCTCCGCCTGCTCTGCCATTCACACTCCCCACCTCTCGCCCAACTGCGTGCACTCCACTCCCCCCACCCACTACCCCCTCCCTTGAGCCCTCCCCTGCTCTCTCTCCCACTCCAGCAGCAGCATCATCACCACCACCACCACCTCTCGACCCCTCCGCACCTGTCGGCTGCTCATTCCCCACCCAGTTACTCGCCTCAACCACACCACGACCACCATCACCCTCACCATCTGTCGGTTTCCCCCCATCCACATCCTCCCCTAGCCACGACGCCAGATCACCACCGTCTCTCACTTCCCTGCCACCACCACCAGCACTAGCACCACCAGCACCAGCACCAGCGGCAGCAGTGTTACCAGCAGCAGCAGCAGCAGCAGCAGCAGCAGCAGGCCCATCTACGCCAGGGGATGACTCAAAGGAGCCACGCTCGGGAAGGGGTTCGTAGCCAGGTGCAATGTGATTAACAAAATGTGACATGGACGAGAGGAGGAACCTAGACCGGTCCGGACCGCCAGATTCTTCCCTGGGCCTTGAAGCGAGTCTCAAACCAGAACCAGCACCAGAAGCAGCACCAGCACCAGAAGCAGCATCTGCAGCAACAGTGGTAGCAGCAGAGTCGGCACCACCAGCACTAGCAGAGTCAGCAGCAGCAGCAGCAGCAGTGGCGGCTTGGGATCCAGCGTCAGAAGGAGCAGTAAGGCTCATAGTAGTAATGGGTTCACGATCTTCTGAACTCCCCATCAGTTCATGCCCCAGGACTAGTTCGCAGGCCAGTGCCAGCACAAGGGGACTATCCCCCTGTGTGCCTGCTTGGCTGGTCACCGCTTGACTGCATGATCCTTCGCTTGCCTCGCCTTCAGATGAATCGGCAGGGAGTTTTGGAGAGGCAGCAGCAGCTGTGGCGGGAGAGGCAGAAATAGCAGCAGCAGCAGGAGCTTTGGTGTTTCCAGGAAGAGGGGAGGAGAGGAGCGGTGAGAGCAGGGTGGAGAGGAAGCGGCAGCGGTCTTGCACATCAGAGGAGAGGTCTGATGCACAGATGGAGAGAGCAGAGGATAGCACGTGGGATGTGGTGGTGTGCGCTTCCTGCAGGTCAGAGGATTCTGGTGTTGCGAAGGAGATGGGCGAGTTGTTGACATGTGGAGCTGCAATCAAAAGGTACACCTGGTGGGAGTGATGCAGGGGTATGAAAACATGGGCACAGGGGTGTTATGCAGGGTTGAAGCATAAAAAAAAATTGAGACACACACACACACACACACGCACACACACACGCACACACGCGCACACGATCTTACAAATCCGAAGACTTCTCTCAAGCTGGCTGAAAATATAGTGATTGTGATGACATGGGGATGAGAAGAAGGGAGGAGTTTCAACACCCATGTCGTCATCCAACGTTCCAATGAGATGCAGTGTTGACTAGAGTTGAATAGCGTTGACTAGAGTTGACTTACTGACCTTAGCGGCAGCATTGAGCAGTTGGAGCTTGACCGAGGGCGGTTGGGAGGGGAGGGAGGGGAGGAGCAGGGAGAGAGCAGTGGGGCAGGCGAGGAGGAGGGGGGGTAAGGAGCGGGCCGCGTGGGCGAGGAGAGAGAGAATGAGGGCCCTGGCTTCAGGGGGGTGGATGGATGGGAGGGATAGGAGCAGCCGGAGTAACACCTGGGAGAGGGGAAAGGGGAGAGGAATGGGAGGAGGAAAACATGAGGATGGGTGTGGAAGGATGGAAGGGATATGAGAAGGCAGAGTTGAGCGAAGGAGAGAGGGGAGGAAAGGGGGGAAGGTAAACGGGAAAGGCGAGGATGAGGGTGGGTATAAGGATGGATGGGAGGATGGGTGGCATGCACTGTCCGTGGTGATTGAATCTGTTTCACCTCTGTCAATTTGTAGTCGACTCACAAACTGATTCTGTTTCAGCACCGTACACATTACTGGTGAAACGTGGTGATGACTTTTGAGACGTCTCAAACACCGTACACATTACTGATGATACTTGGTGATGTGCTTTAACCACCAACTGTACGAGGAAGACCACCAACTGTACGAGGAAGACCACCAACTGTACGAGGAAGACCACCAACTGTACGAGGAAGGCCACCAACTGTACGAGGAAGACCACCAACTGTACGAGGAAGACCACCAACTGTACGAGGAAGGCCACCAACTGTACGAGGAAGGCCACCAACTGTACGAGGAAGACCACCAACTGTACGAGGAAGGCCACCAACTGTACGAGGAAGACCACCAACTGTATGAGGAAGACCACCAACTGTACGAGGAAGGCCACCAACTGTACGAGGAAGACCACCAACTTTACGAGGAAGACCACCAACTTTACGAGGAAGACCACTAACTCTCTCCCTCTCGCCCATCCCCCTCTCTCATCACTCTCTCCCCACCCCTCTCTTCCCCCAACCTTTCACTCCCACCCTCTCTCTCGCACAACCTCTCCCCCACACCACCTTGCTGTGTGCAGCGGGACATCCTTCAATCAGCCGTTTCGCTCCATGTAAAGCCTCCAGCACCACACCACTCTGCATCGCCCTCAACTCCATCCTAAGCTCCTCCTCCCCCTCCTCCTCTTCTCCCTCCTCCCCTTCCTCACCCTTCTCCTCATTACCCTGCCTTTCCTCCTCCCCTTCCTCCTGCCCATTCTCCTGTCCGTTCCTCTCCTGCCGCTCCCCTCCCTTGCACTCCTCTTCCTGTTTCTTCCCTGCATGTTCTCCTGTCGTCCCTGCCTCTGCACTCTCACCAGCAGCACCACCACTAGCACCACCAGCACCACCACCACCACCGCTGCTGCTGATACCACCGCTGGAGCCTCGCTGGATTGCCAGCTGTACCAGCCCCTCCACCACTGACGCTGCGACATCTGGCACGCTCTCAGCCACGCGTGTGACTGCTGCAATGATGGCACAGGCAGAAGAGGAGTCCGCAGAACGAAGGCAGGCCTGGGGAAGGGGAAACGAAAGCGGAAGGGGAAGGGGAAGCGGAAGGGGAAGCGGAAGGGGAAGCGGAAGGGGAAGGGGAAGCGGAAGGGGAAGCGGAAGCGGAAGCGGAAGCGGAAGGGGAACGGGAAAGGGAAGGGCAGGTTTGAGAGGGGAGGAAATGGATTAGCCTCTGAAGCAAGCGGGATTCAAAGGCTGGAGTGTGCTGAATGAAGGCAGGCCTAAGGCAGGGGAAGGCATTGGCAGATGTGCCAAGGTGTTGGCAGGTGTTGGCAGGTGTTGGCAGGTGCAACAAGGAGTCCACTATTAAGCCCCTCTGAAACACACCTGGAGCTCTAGCAGCAGAGCAGAGGCGTTGGCAGGCGTGGCAAGGAGTCTACTTCTAAAGCCCAACCAGAGTATACCTGAAGCTCGAGCACCAGAGCAGAGAGGCATTGGTAGGCGTGGCGAGGATTCTGCATGTAAAGCCCCTCCAGAAAATGTTTGAGGCGCCTAAAAATTGTCTCAGCTCAAGAGAAAGAATACCTGGAGCTCTAGCAGCAGAGCAGAGGTGTTGGCAGGTGTGGCGAGGAGAGGTAGCAGGGCGAGCTTGTGAGCGCGCAGAGGGGGCAGGTCGGCTGCAGAGGGATAGAGGAGATGCATGTAGGGCACGAAGATGGATGGCCGGCGATGTGCCATGGTTGATATTATGGTTAGGACCTGCAAGGCAAGGAGTCCAGAACAACGGATGGGGTAGGGGAGGGGTCTAGTTTTGAGGCGCCTTAAAACCGACGATGCGCCATGGTTGATATTATGGTTAGGACCTGCAAGGAAAACGGATGGGGTAGGGGAGGGGGGAGGGATGGGGCAGGGGGGTGGGGGGCGGGATGGGGCAGAAAGATGGGGGATGGGAGAGTGCGAAAAAATTACAGGCATGCAAGCATGGGACACACACACACACATGTACACATGTACACATGTGCACACTCACGGGCAAGAACTCACAGGCGAGTGCTCACTCACAGGCATGTGCTCACTCACAGGCATTTGCGCATGCGGTGTGGAGCGAAGGAGGAAGAGCAGCGGCGGCACAACCAGCGTTCCAACATCGGCATCACTGGGGTTGAGTTCCCATTGCACTGTCGCTGCTGCTGCCACTGCGCTGCTGCTGCTGATGTGCAGCAAGTGCTAAGCTAACTTACGGGCATTTGTGCGTGCGGCGTGGATCGAAGGAGAAACAGCAGCGGCGGCACAACGAGTGTTCCAACGTCGGCATCACTGGGGTTTAGCTCCCATTGCACTGTCGCCGCTGCTGCCACTGCGCTGCTGCTGCTGCTGTGTAGGAGCCCCTGGGAGCACCGCAGCAGCAGCTGCACATCTGAAGGTATGTTGCGGGTGAGGGACGCAGAAGAGGACGAGGCAGGACGAGCGCCCTTCACCCCTTCCCCTTCTGCTGCGGCTGCTGCTGCTGCTCCTCCTCCTGCTCGTCCCTCTCCTCCTCCATCCGCTCCTCCTCCCCCTCCCTCTCCCCTGCCAACCCCCCCCAAACTGCCCCTCCCCACCGTCCCATGCGCATAAGCAGCGCAGCGCAGCAGCAGACCTAGCAGAGTGGTCTGCCCACAGGCGTCGAGGTCGGCTAGCAGGTGGCAGAGGAAGCGGAAGCGCGGCAGCAGCAGTGAGAGGCGGTGGGGGCAGATGGCCGAGAACGATGCTGCTGCTGCTCCCACCACTGAGGGGGAGGAGTCTGAGAGGAATACGGAGAGGAGCTGAGAGGGGGAATGGGGGGGGTAGGGGGAGCAGAAGGACAAGGAAAGGGGAGAATCAGGGAGGAAATGGTGGGCGAAAGGGGAGCAGCAGGGAAAGAGAAGCGGGTGAGGGAGCAGCAGCAGGCCTAGCAGAGTGGTCTGGCCACACGCGTCCAGGTCTGCTAGGAGGTGGCAGAGGAAGCGGAAGTGCGGCAGCAGCAGGGAGAGGCGGTGGGGGCAGATGGCCGAGAACGATGCTGCTGCTGCTCCCACCACCGAGGGGGAGGAGTCTGAGAGGAATACGGAGAGGAGCTGAGAGGGGAAAGAGGAGCGGGGAGAGAAGGGCAGAAGGGGCGGGGAGAGAGGAGAATGAAGGGAGGGGAGAGGATGAAAAGGGAATTAGGCACATAGCAGCAGTGGAACCTCCCCTTTCCTTCCCCTTCCCCTTCCCCCATCTCCCACCCTCGAAAACCCAATAAACCTCACCTCTTCCACCTCCTCTTGCACAGCCTCCCCCCCCACGGCGGCCACAGCAGGGAGACACAGAGCAGCGGTGCAGCGAACGAGAGCAGATGGATCCCTGGCCACCCGCCCCACGGCCAGACACGCGATCTGCAGCGCTGCAGGCAGGCGCATGGCAGCAATGGCGCGCAGGGCATGGGCGCGCACTGCTGCATCCGGATCCCCCAGGTCCTTATGGAGGGTGTTTATCACCATCAGGGCCTCAGAGGGACGGCTGGGGAAGGGGTTGGGGGGAAGGGGATAAAAGTTGGTGGTTTGAGTCGTGTTGAGTCGCGCACTGCTGAGTCCAGGTCCCCCAGGTCCTTATGGAGGGTGTTTATCACCATCAGGGCCTCGGATGGACGGCTGGGGGGTGGGAGGAGGAGGGGGAGGGTGGGAAGAGGACAAAGAAGGGGGGAAGGTGGTGGGGAGGAGGGCAGAACGGTTGTAGAGAGCGTGTGGAAGGTAATGGTAAGCACTGCTGGGTCCGAGTCCCCCAGAGCATGGGAGGGAGAGCATGGGAGGACATACCAGGGAAAATAATGAGTAATGAAGGAGCAGACCATATCCTAGATGGGGAGCGAGGGGGTGATAGATACTTGTGAGGTGCCCCTCATAAATATTCTTGTGAGGTGCCCCTCATACATATTCTTAGACCGATTTGGAAGCGCCTTAAAAGAGTGAGAGCAGGGCAGGGCGTACTGTTGAGCGTAGTGGGCAATGAAGGAGCAGACCATGCGCTTGATGGGGAGCGATGGGGTGATAGATACTTGTAGGGCGTCTATCCCTTCCCCTCACACATATTCTTAGATCGATTTTGAGGCGCCTCAAAGGGTGGGGGCATGGTAGGGAGAGAGCATGGGAGGCCGTACCGTTGAGCATAGTGGGCAATGAAGGAGCAGACCATGCGCTTGATGGGGAGTGATGGGGTGATCACCAGCTTTACCACCTGCATGAGGTGGCATGGCATGGCATGGCATGGCATGGTATGGCATGGGGCGACACAACAACAAGGGCAACTTGAGTGAGGCGCCTCAAATTGAGCGGTGGGTTGATCATCAGCTTCACCACCTGCATGACAAGGTGTGGCACAACTAGAGTAAAGCTGCATAGCATGGCATGGCACCGCATGGCATGGCATGGCACCGCATGGCATGGCATGGCACGATACGATATGCTATGGCATTCGCTGGAGACAAGAGCAAGGAGGTCATTAGCAGCAGTACATATGCAACATCTTACATGCATATGACAGCAAGTCCAATCCAAGAACACACACCACTTTTCCCAGCCTCTTTTGTGCAACTCGAAGGTCTTTTCATACGCACAAAAGGACAGTATGTACAGGTACAGGTACAGGCGCACATACCACTCACTGACCCTCCCAGAACCCCTTTTTCTGTTAAGAGTTCAGACATGTATGTTGTCATGGCCTCATGGCCTCATGGCCAGCAACATCAGCACGTGCTTCCAGGGGTGCCTAAGCAATCGGCTCACACATGCCCGCTCGCCCCACACAGAAGTCGTCACACACACACACACACACACACACACACACACACACACACACACACACACACACACTCACATCTGTGAAGAACTCGGAAGCGTCATGCCCTGTAGCCAGCAGCGCCAGCACTCGCTTCATGCCCTGCGCCCGCTCCGCCTCGTACTTGCTCGCCAGCAGCTGCCGAATGCTGCCGCCCGCGTCCGGGTCGTCGTAAAATGCGCCATCGCTGAGGAGTGAGGAAAGGAGGGGTGAGGAGAGGTGAGGAGAGGTGAGGTGAGGCGAGGTGAGGAGAGGTGAGGTGAGATGAGGTGAGGAGTGGAGAGGTGAGGTGAGATGATGCACGCATGTGGGGGGTAGTGAAAGGGAGGAGAAGAAGAGCGTATTCCAGATAGAATCCCCTGATTTACTACGCCTGGATCTCAACAGACCAGGTTCGTCCAGTCCAGCGATTATTCCGCATGCTCCGTCCGTGAGCAGGATTGGAATTTGGCATGCTGGACTGGCTGGCAATCTCAAGTTGAGAACAGATGCACAAGGAGATGCAAAAGGTACTGTTCCTGTAGTGACGCTCTTCTTCCGCATCTCAAAGTACAAGGTGAAAAGTGCGAGCTACGAGCTACAAATCCTAACCACCCAAAAGACTGTCGACCCATGAATCCCCTCCCCGCTCGCGCGTTTGAACCGGGCTGCAAAACCACCTGGACTCGTATGTGTTGACGTGCTAACGAACTCGTATGTGTTCATCCTGAGGGCCGTAGACGCCATGGTGAAGTCACTTTTGAGGAGTCTCACAGGAATCTCATAAGTCTAGTCCCACCTGCTGATGTGGCTGATGAACTCGTATGTGTTCATTTTCATTGCTGTAGACGCCATGCTGCTCAGCAGCAGATTCGTGCTTCGAGCCATGGGTGCCGCCGCGGCTGCCGCCGCTGGGAGGATTCCTGCGACTGACGCGAAATCGAAGTTACCAAGGGAATTCGCTTGGTTGTGCTGCATCGGCGGACAAAGGCATGATTCTTGAAAACGAGAGTTAGTTCCCAGATTCGGGACCAAACGGCTATGGGAGCTGACGGACCAGGAAGGATGATTGCTGGATGGAAACGAGAGCAACGTTCGGAGGGTGAAGCGGCTTTGGAGGGAAAGAGGAAGTCAAGAGTGCTCGAGTCAGTTGACAAATGAGCTGAATCTGTTTCTTTTCGGATAATGTGAAACGTACAGTTTCATCAGATGGAGGTGGTAGTAAGGAGACGAACATGTCGGCTGAAGTGTATTAAAAACGCGGACACAAAATCCACGTGAGCTATCCTCGTTTGGATCGCAAGCGTTTTAGTGCAGTGTGTACAAGCTATTTTGTGTTTCATGCTTTACCTAAGATCAAGAGTATGCATTCATAATAACGAAGTCAGGCAAAGGTGAATCAAAATCTCGGGTCTCTCCGAGTCAAATCTGCGAACCTGGAAATGTGGTTCGCTTCAGAACTCGATTCCCAAAGAAGCCCGTGGACCTTGGAATATTTCCGTCACAGCCAATCATCATATCTCATTCACCAATGGCAGATCAGCAAGAACGCAAAACTGGCGTATGCATGCCACGTCATGCAGGTGTGTCACGGGAGATGCGGAAATTCAGGTACAGCACAAGCCACGAGTTCCGACCGAACCACCCTGACAGAAGCACTTCTGGTCTGGAAACAGGTAATCGAACCTGTTACCAAACCCAGAAGTCTGCCAGGCTTCGCCCCCACCAAACCACAAAGCACCACCCACCAGCCACTGTCCATCCAGCCAGTCACCTCCCCCCCACCTCCCTGATGGGGGTATCGCAGGCCTCCTACAGAGCTTTCGCGAGTGGCGATTTGTTTGGCGAAAAACGAAATCTCTACTTTCCTCGTTACCTCACTGGTCATTCCTCGAATTTCACATCTTCTTCGTGAGATGTTGTAACCAGCTGATTCTTCTTCCTTCCACCATCCCCACAAACAAAAGTAGGTCATCCGCCAGCTCATCTTATTAGTCCACCCCTGCACCACCTCTCACAAGCACCTCTTCCCTCCGTTGACATCCCTCCACCACCACACTCTCCAGCTTCCACTTGCCATCGTCGCATCCACCTCACCCTCGCTCTAACATCTTCCCGCTTCCATTTCCATCCAGCATGGCCACCCTCCGCGGTATCTTCCGTAAGGACTCCTCGTCGCTGGTGCGAGCTGCTGCTATCTTCACAGCTGGCGCAGCCGTCGCCGCGTCTGCTTTCACCTTGTCCTCCAGCGGATCGACAACCTCCTCCCGTCAAGTCACAGGTGGACCATATAAATAATTTTCGCGTCAATGTTGTAGTTTCTTGCGGAATTATTTTATCTCTTGTGCTTCTTTCGTGGACTTCGTACATCATGTTCTAGCTGGGTCACGAAGAGGAAGATAAAAGATCCTTTTTTCACCCATCTCGTCTTTTACACAAAATATTAACAAGTACTATCTCTTTCACCTTAACTTTTCAACCCTCGCAGGTGCCCTCCCGGCTGCTGTTCCCGCTGAATCCGCCGTGAGATCTGTTTCCACCTCAGCAGACGGCGCATCGTCGACCGCGTCTAAGGAGCACGTGGTGCTGGGTAGCGGCGAGTGCGACTGCGCTGCTCTCTGGGAGTGCCTTCAGACTCCCAACGCGGACTGCTCACAGCTGCAGAAGGATCTGCAGGCCTGCCTCGTCGCCAATAAGCTGATTGCTCGCCCCAAAGCTTAGAGCGGCGTACGGTGCAGGGAGTCTGGGTGGAGTTGATTGGCTGGCACAATTACACGTGCGAGTCTTGTCCGTGTGATTTACTGCCATGGTGTCTGGTGTTAGCATTATTCTTTCGGAGGCGATTCCTGGATGGAAGGTTTACCAGTTTGGTGGGGTGGGGTCGTCCATCAGTTTGACTTCTTGGAGCTGCTGTTTGTTGCCTGGTTCTGGTAGCGTTGCAGGCCTGTCCAAGCGCTTGGAGCAGTGTGTTACCATATATGCATCTTGATATGGTTGTAGATATTGGCAACTACAGGACTTTCTGGAAAATGCTGATATCCGGGTGCACTTACAGCATGTATGTATGCTGCATGATCTTCTTTTAAGCAACTTCTACCGTATGCCAACTTCCCATAAGCACAGCCTCTCATGCCTTTTGCAACCCTGAATATAGATCTGGCTGGTTACCAGTGCTGCCTCCCCCCATCAAGCATACGAACTCAGGAACATGCATGACTCTTTTGCCAGCCTAATGATGCATACATCTGGAATAACAGAACATAAGCAAACAGCATTAGGCTGGCAAACTGTTCCCCCTCCTCTTCCAGCCCCTCCTGTTCCACATTTGTCTCTTTGTTTCACCTGATATACCCTAAGCATCTGCATCACCCGTTTCCCCCAAACACCTGCCTTGGATCGGAGGAGGAACATCAAGCCCCGACAGCACCACCTGCTGCATCCTTTTTCTGCATCCCCACCGCACCAGCCGAAACACCTGCCACAGGCCCAGATTTAGACTCGCACTTGCCTCAAAACACCACCACCCAATTCCTGCGCCCCCCAGATGAATCTGCAACTGGCTTCCATCATCTCGTCAAAACAAACCGTCTGCCCGTGCGCCTCGCTTCAGCTCCACCAGTCACACACACACACGCCCACGACAGGTCTCTCCAGGGTATTATCACTTATCACGGAACACCAGCACCATCTGCTTCCGAGGCAGCGTTGCCTCAAAAGCAGCCGTGGCAGCACACTCTGACAGCTGGCAAGGAGGCTCCATGCCCATATTACCTGCAGTGCCCATACCAGAACCAGTACCCATCCCCATCCCCATCCCCATTCCAATACCCATACCCATCCCCATACCCATACCCATCCCTACACCCATCCCCATCCCCATCCCCATGCCCATTCCCATGGCACTGCTGCTATTGCTCTTACTGTGCCCCACATCCAGCCGATCCACTCCGTCCGCCAAATCAGATCCATCAGACAAGCCAATATTGACCGCTGGCAGCAGCTCCAGTTCCTGCAGCCGCTGCATTGCCGCAGCAGCCAATCCCATCGCTCTATCCGTCAAGTTAACTCCATCCAGAGATAGTTTTTTCAGATTCACAGCAACTGCACTGCCAGCCTGGCACATAGCCTCAACTGCCCAATCCATGACACTGTCCACGTGGCGGATCGCCAGGTGTTCCAATCGCGAGCAGGAGGAGGAGGATAAGACTGCCAGGCTGGCATTAATGTCGGGGAAATCGCAGGACGGGTGACCGAAGAGAGAGAGGGAGCGGAGGGTTGGGACTAGGGAGGCGAGGAGGAGGAACGAGGGGAGGGAGGTGTAGAGAGGGAAGGAGTGGAGTGTGGTGGTGGTGGGTTGGGGGAGAGATGGTGTGGGCTGATGGGGTTTGTGGGGTGGAGAGAGGTGGGAGAGTGAGGAGAGGGAGGAGAGGAGCGGGAGGAGAGGAGTGGATAGCGGTACTCTGGGAAGATCACAGGAGAGAGCTGGGGTTGGGTGTGGGGGGGAATCAGCAGAGGGGGGGGGAGTGAGTGAGGGAGTGGAAGGGAAGACAAAGGGGGGCAGAAGAAAAAGGAATATGTGAAGGTGAAGAGGTGGAGGAAGGATGAAGACCAGAGAGAACAGGAGGTCTCACAACACGAACCAAACACGTTTTGATTGGGAAATCGTTGACATGAACAGTGATGACCAATGAGGAGACAGCTGATTGGAGAGAATAATCACAATGGATATAATAGAAGCAGCAGCAGCAGTGGCGGCGGCGGCTGCGGCAGCAGCAGCAGCAGCAGCAGCAGCAGCAGCAACAGCAGCAGCAACAGCAGCTTACATGTGAGTTTAGGGCAGCAGGCAACGAGAGTGGCAAAGGCTTGAATGTCCATCGGCACAGGGGAGGAGCAGGTAGAGAGGGTGGAGGAGGATGAGGTTAAACTCCCCGTGACTTGGCAGGACAGGGACTCGAGGTGTGTGCATGCTCGCACGAGGGATGAGATGCCGCTGTGTGGCGATGGGAGGGGAGGGGAGGAGGGGAGGGAGAGGGAGAGTGCGGAGTGAGGAGAGAGAGAGAGGAAGGGAGGGAAGATTTGGTATTTAGAAGGGAAGGGTAGGGAGGTGGGAAGGAAGTGAGTAGCAGGGAGGGATGGTTGCTGCTGATTGTGATGATAGACGACGGATGGTCACAGCAGCGTCCCCATGAAGTTTATTGTGGAAAAAAGAAAAGAAAAGGAAGAAAAACGGAACGGAACGAAACGAACCAAACGAATAAGGAAAAGAGGAGGAGCACCAAGAGCAGCAGCAATACCGCGATGTGACAGACGGGCAGAACGAGACGTCTAGAGAAGCCAATCCCGGGCAGGATTGGCCCACATCAGTCAGCAGATCGTCCGTCAGTCCAGCCACATGCTTCATCCGCACGTGCTTTAACCCGGGCGCGAGGCGCGCTATAACGGGTATGACCTCGGGGCGGCGGCAGTTGTCCATTGTGAGAGAGTGGAGCGACCAGAGAGGACGGGGGAGGAGAGGAGGAGGGGGGTGTTGGGAGGGAGAAGGGGGCGGGGGGGGAAAAGAGGGAGGAGGGGAAGGAGGAGACGGTGGAGGGGAAGGAGAGGAGGGTGGAGGGGAAGGAGAGGAGGGTGGGGAGGAGGCGGGTGCAAGAGCACGGAGAGCGTCGATTGCTCCGTCAGAGAAGTAAGCAGAGGGGATGGAGAGGGAGAGCAGGCGCGACCAGGTGGAGTAGCCTGGAGGGGTGGGATGTGGTGGGATTGAGGTGGGTAGGGGTGGGTTAGGATGTAATGAGATGAGATGGGATGGGATGGGTTAGGATGAGAGCCAGGGGGGTGGTGGAGTGGGGAGGGGCAGCAAGGACGGAAAAGGAAGAGATGGCCCTTCGAATCCCCCATTGTTCCTTCGGGGCATCATGCATCAACGGGGGATTAGAATGCTAGGGGTGGGAGGGGAGGGGAGGGGAGGGGATGGAAGGGGATAGAATGGGAGGGGAGGGGAGGGGAGGGGAGGGGAGGGGAGGGGAGGGGAGGGGAGGGGAGGGAGTGACTAGTGTCATGGATTGACTGACCTTTGGGCGTGAGTCGCTCCCCGGCGAAGTGGAGGTGCGTCAGTCGCGGGCAAGATGCGAGCAGAGAGGCGAGAGCACCGTCGGACACCTTGAGCGTGGTGCGCACTAGCAGCCTCTCGATGTTGGGACAACAGGCTGAGGGGAACGGGAGGGAAGATGGGAGGGACGAGGACGGGAGGGAGCGGATGGGGGGGGAATGAAAGGGAGGAGAGTGTGCAAGCAGCGTGGGACACCCTGAGCGTCGTGCAGACTAGCAGCCTCTCGATGTTTGGACAGCAGGCTGACGAGGGGGGGGAAATGGGGAAGCAGCGGGGGGGAGAAGAGGAGGAGGAAGGGAGGAGAAACGGAGGGAGAGAGGGAGGAAGGGGAGAGTAAAGGAGTTAAGGTGTGAGAGAGAGTGAAAGATTTATTTACACGTGTACACCCACAGGACGGCCTCCCATTCCCCAGCTCTCTCTTTTTTCTGCTTGCTAAGATTTCGCCTAGCACTGCTGCTCCTATCAACAAAAAAGGCTGTAGTGCATCCTGCTATTCCTCCAAACCTTACCTAACCATTCTCAACTGCTCTCCGTCCTCCGCACCCTTCTTGCCCCTCCTCCACCCACCCAACGAGCAACCCCCCACTCTCAAACGGTCCGTTGTATTGATTCAGCAGGGGTACAGGCATGCAGCATAATCCGTGATACCCCCACTCTCTCCCTCACCTTCCCCCTCCCGGCAACTCCCCCCTTCCGCACCCCGCGCTTGCCTGCATCTTCCCCCTCCACTCACCAGCAACGGACGAGAAGAGCGCGGACATGGCTACAGTGCTCCCCCCTTCAAGGTGACTGTTGAGTCAACTCAATAGTAAAGGTGATTTGAACAGAAAAAAAAACCTTTTCTTACCAGCAACAGAGGAAAAGAGCGCGGACATGGCTACAGTGCTCCCCCCGTCCCGCCATCCTCCGCCCATCGCCACCTCTAGCCGCAACAGCCGCTGCTTCATCCCCCTTATAAGCACCTCCGCCTGCGCGTGCCCCACCCTGCAGCCAGTCAGAGACAGACACGTCAGCTGCCTGCACCCGTTCACCAGCGCGGAAAGCGATCCGCTCCGCACTGCAGCAGCTCCGCCCCCCGGGCCTCCCCCGCTTCCGCCACCAGGTCCGCCGCTTCCACCACTTCCGCCGCTTTCCCCGCTTCCGCCATGCCCGCCGCTTCCCCCCGCACCAGTTCCCCTGGTCCCCCCGATCCCCCCCATCCCTGCGCGGGGGGTCCTTCTAGGCCCAGATCCGCTGCCCCCGATATAAGCTGATCCGCTGCTGCTGCGGTCGCCTGCTGCGCCCCCCTCGCTGGCCTCCCCTTCCCCCTGCTGCGCCTGCGCGTGGATCGCCGTGAGTTGCGGGCAGACCGCCACGTGGAGCTCCTGCAGACGGCGGCACTTGCCGGCGATCGCAAGGAGCGCGGCGTTAACGTCGCCGATAAAACGGGATAGATGCAGGGATCGAAGCGCGGCTCCGCAAGATACGGCGATGCTCGCGACGCCCACGAACGAGCACGCGGAGGCGACCACGTGGCGAGCCGCGGGACCCGCGAGCTCCGCCGCCTTGCGCAGGAAAACGTCGCCAGACTGGCGGCGGAAGGCAACGGGGGAGGCGGAAGGCGAGCGGGAATGGGGGAAGGCGGAGGATGCGGAAGCGTGCGCGGAATGGGCGGAAGGCGCAAACGCGGAAGCAACGGCTGATTTTACGGCGGCGGCGCGGGGATCCAAATCGTCAAGGCTCCTGCTCGCGTGAAGACCGCTTAGTCGCGCTTCGCTCGCCGCTAGCCGCGGCGCCAACCCCGCAGCGAAAGCAGGCGGAAGCGGCGCCGCAGGGCTCGCCTTCGCGGAAGCTGCCCCGGCCGGTAGCGTGACGACAACTACTCGCTGATTCGTCCACGATTGCCCGTCTACGGATCGCCACCATGAGATATCGCCGTCATCTGTGGCGGCGGCTGCGGACGCCGCCATTTCTTGTTCGTCCGGAGGCAGATCCGTCCAAGATTCGGGCAGAGACCGAACGGCGTTCGTGCCGGCGGCGGCGCTTCCGCTCATAATGCCTGACGAATCGCTGAGACTAGCCGAATCAGATCTACTAGAGAAGCTCGTGCTTCTAACGAAGGCTGGAATGCCTCGCGCTGCTACTGCGGCGACGCTGCTTGTTCGAGCTAACCCGCCGCCAGATCCGGCGGCGGCGGCGGAGGCAACGCTACTGGTTCTAAACAAGCGCCCCCCTGCTGCTATGCTGTTTCTGCGGCTCAAACCGCCGGAAGGACCGCCGGAAGTTCCTCCAGGGACGTAGTTCATCTCCGGTTCTTGTTCTAAGAACGAATCTTCAGGGGGAACAGCAGATGCGAGGAGGCGCCACGTTGAGCAGGTCATGCTTGCCGCGATGCGATCGCGGAAGTCGACTCGCCGCATAACGCGGGCGAGCAGCGCAGGCGGCAGCCGCATGATGTCGCAACGCGGCAGTGCGGGTTCCGCGGACGCCGTGTCTCGTCGCGGCGGCAAATCCGCAACTGCCACGTCATCCTCGCTTCTGTTTTCGAAGGCTGCAGCAGTATCCGCGTCATCGTCCCGCCAGCGTGGGCCGCAATGTCTGTCGGCGTCCACGTCAGCGGCGCTGAGGGGGTCTGGAAGGTCCTGTGGAATTCCCGCCAAAAATGCATCCACGTGTCCCATGCGGCAGGTCTCGCCAATGGTGGAAGCGAGAAGGTTCTTGGTTATTGCGACATACTGGCAGCGGCGGTAACTAAATGTATTGAGAATAACCCGAATGACACAAACGGGCCACGAACGATTGATCGGCTACTGTAAAATGCTGGAGGTAGTCGAAAGTCGAGTGGAAGATTCTGCTGGCAGATCAAGTGACGAAGGTGAATGCTGCTGCTGCCTGTGCTGCCTTGGAAAACGGAATCTGCCATGGATTTGGGATCACAGCCCATGTGGGCTTGCTCCCTCCAATTCCCGAGGGTCATGTCATAATAGCAAAGGGATTTTCCGAAACACCCACAACAATTCAATGCGCGGCTTTCTGATGGGAAAACTCGAGTTTAGGAGTGTGTACTAGTGTATGTCGATTTGGAGCTATCAAACACTAAGGAGAAGCATGCAGGGATAGTGTAATTCTCGGATTTTGGGGTAACTTCTCGGTGTGACGTGGGACAAATTCATGAACATGAAATAACGCCACCCACGAAACAAAAAGGTGTGCCGCCGAGTCCCTTCACACAAGGTCTAACGGAAAACCTCACTATAAAGCCACTCACCCTTACACACACGTTGATCGGCAATGAAATTCTCTATACCATAAATCCATGATTCTTTCCAACAATCTTGTCTCCAGTTGTATTCAAAGAACTGAAGCACATTTTTCTCAGCTCTAGGAGCCTCCAAGTTTCAAAAAGTAACTGCAGAAAAACAGACGTTGAATGACAAATTCAATCCAAAAATATATTCTACGCTGGATCCACAGCAGTAACTTAGTCAGTCTGGACTTCGGAAGTTGCAGGAAAGTACACTCCTTCTGTGGCCTTCCAAATGTTTTCAGGTGACTTGCGCTGGATACCACAAATCTGGTGACAATTGTTGGGGGCAAAAGGCATACACAGGAGAGGGTTAAAGAGCTTCGAGGTTGAAACGGCACATGACACAGAAGAGGAAGAGGGGGACGGGAGAAGGGGCGAGAGGAGAGATGCACAGAAAAACCACTGCAGTATCATTAGCCTCACTCACCTCATACTGTCCAGCAATGGGCCGACTGTATTGCTTGTTGTGCGAGTGCAGAAAACCCCCTGTGTCCACATGCAGCAAGCGAACCTTCTGGTCCCGCATCCACACAGAGCCACGTCCCTCAATCTCCAGCCTGGATGCAAAGAAAAAAAAAACGTCTCAGACGAATCTTGTCAAGGCACCATTCCTATCATACGCCATGCAGAACCGACTGTGCTGCATCCTAGTGGTAGGTGGCTTATGGAGCATAAATTATGGAATTCAATCCCACCAGCAAGGAAAAGCACAGTTCCACCAACGAAGAACCTCATCAGGAAAGTACGACCTACCTAAAACACATGATCGCAATGTGACAAGAAAGCTATTCCAGCACTATGTTCGCACCCTAGGTGACTAATGGGAACATATGCAACTGATTCCACGCAACAATCCACAAACCACTTGACAGGGGCACTCGGGCAAGACCATCTCACCTCCAGTGATCTCCGGTGTCCGACTGGTTGTCATCTCCATACGCACTGACCTGCAGGATTAGTGGACATGTAAAGTTTGACGGTAGTGTGTAAGAACTTGGCAGGCCAGCAAGAAAGCGAAGTATCACCGCAATAATCGAATTTCGACTTCGTGAGAGGAAGAAATAGAGGGTAGAAAGACTTTAGGCACACTCATGGCTGCAAGTGAAACGAAATGAGAGATCGTACCTCGAAGTTGTTTGAGAGAGGGGAAGCATGCAGGTGGGAGTGAAGCCATCTTCTCGTCCTCATGTGCTGCAGACGGAACACCGCACCATCTCCCAGGGTCTGACCGGGCTCGCACACAACCTTGTTAATGCAGCGCACGATCCAGTAGCTGTTGCCGTCGTCTCCACCTTGGAAGCCGGTCACAGACTGCTGACCGCTGCCTGAGCCATAGCTGACATCGTGCGAGTGCAAACGGTGCTTCAGACGGTCGTGTACGAGCTTTATGGCGGACCCGATCGTCACCTGGTGGGAGAATCGGAGAAGGTGGTGAAATTTTAAAGTTTTACCAAATGGCGGATGAAGGAATGCCATTTTGAACGAATTTTGTTAGCTTTTGCTGACAAAGAAACGCAACCTATTTTGGAGTGAAGTGAATGTGCTGCTAGACGGCTGCTTCAATTCTTTGAAAGAAAAATCACGAAGTCCTTACCTCTCGTGGCTCTGCAATTACTGTCGCGAATAGGGAGCTAAGAGCAACACCAATGCCGATCCACGCCATGGTACGCGAATGAAAAACAGGAAGACTCATTGTTCTGGTTTGATTTAAGAATGCGACGAGTCAGACCGGTCGAAATTAAACAAGAAGATTGTTGCCAGTAAAGATCGCGAGGGCGTAAGGAGCGGAGTCTGCGATGGAAAATGTAAGAGACAACTATGATATGGTCTAGGACTCAGCCAGACTCACAACGGCCTCCTAGCACCTGACTGGACTGTGTTTGAAACTCCGAGATCTGGGCCAAAACACACTCCACTCTCCACGGCTCAACGGAATCCAGGGGTTGGAGGTGACGCGAAATACGAGTAGGCGAAGAAATACGAGCGTCGTTGACGGTGAATTGCGGTCTTCAGCCAATAGCGATGGCTGGCAAAAGTTCTGTCGACCAATCTCGGTGCGGCGAACAGCAAATCTTGGAAACTCCAACCCAGCCCCCATTTCATTCGTTGGTCTGTGACGGAGGTTCTAGAGACAAACTCAACGGGCCAGATTGCATCTGTGCCTAGATTGACTGTGCCGAGACAAAGTAAACTCGAATTCCAGAGCGTTATCAATTTCTCCCATGCTGAGGCTATCAGTAAAGAGGACATTACCGAGGCTCTCAGTAAAGAGGACATAACGAGGCCAAATCTCCCTGGTTTGCACCAGAATCCATATTCGAATATCCCTTCGTACTCCAGAATTCCCGATTCCATCCAGCCATAGCAGCTTCTCATTCTGCATTCTATACCCGCTTAGCCCGCAAGGTTTCTTTTTCCAGTCGGAAGAGTATTCGCTCATTTTACCCTTATGGAGTCCTGAACTCTGGACAGAGTTTGTGCGTCCCTGCCGTATTGTGTATGAATGTCACTGCACAGTACACGACTGCTGAAGCTCCACATTTTCGCGCCGCTTCCGTCGTTCACCGCCTCAAAATCCCCATTTCCAATTCGACCGCAAGCATTCGTACCAGTTCTTAAAAATTCCTCGCGACTGCCTTATAACGGGACTTCCAGTAGAGCAGTTGTCTCAGGAGCTGGAATGGCGTTCCTGAGCCATGGAGGTCAAGCTCACACCAAAGTGGCTTCTGCAGCACGAGAATCTTTCATGAGAGGCAACAAAGGAAACTTCGTCTCTGACGAGGACTCACTCCCGCCGGCGATAGCGAATCTGAAGATTCAGGGCACGTGGTTCGCGGATGGGGATGGCCCTGCGATGAAGGAAACGACGAGCGGACGCGACAACGCGAGCCGCTTGGACCGAGGCGAGAACGGCCGAGCCGGATCCGTGTACTACTCCCTGTGCAAGCCTCCCTTGAAGGTACCACGGAAGTGTGTGAAGTTTTTCAGCTGTGAGAGACAAATGATTGTGATACACGCACTGGGTTGCTGCTCCGTGTACTACTCCGTGTACTACTCCGTACGGACTCGTAAGAATGTTCACCTGCTTCCTTCTTTCACTCAGGCACTCATTCACTCCCACCCTCGCTCTGTACCTATCGTTGCCCCCCTTGCACCGTTGTATCCATCCGTACCCATCCGCACCCATCCGCACCCAGCCACGTGCCACGGCTATCTTCGTTCCCGGGGACAACGTGGAGGGCAGTGGCAGCGCGCGCGTGGACCATCTGTCTTTTAAGTCAATACAGAAAATTATTTTGCACCGTTGTTTTCCCATCCGCACCCATCCCCACTCATCCCCACCCAACCGCACCCAGCCATGTGCCACGGCGATCTTCTTCCCTGGGGACAATGTGGAGGGCAGTGGCAGCGCACGCGTGGACCATCTGTCGCGGCCTGAGGTGATAGCTGCGCTGGTGGAGGGGAAGCTGCGTAGAATAAGCACAAAGGGGAGGAAAGAGGAGCAGGCGGGTGGTGCTGCGGATGGGCCACCGGTTTTGCAGGACGGCACAGCACAGCAGGAGGTGGGAAGGCAGGAGCAGGTTCAGCAGCAGGAGAAGGAGAAGCAGCTGGAGCAGCAGGACCAAGAACAGGAGCAGGGAGAGCAAGAGCAGTGTTTCAACATCTGGGTGGTGTATCCATCACGGTACGAGGGACCATTCGCCTGCTACGAGAACCTCTTCGGACCTCCCACGACCCCTTCCCACCCCTCACCTTCCTCCTTTCCCTCCTCTCCCTCCTCCACATCACCCGCCCACGCCTCCTTCCTTCGCTCCACCTCGTCCTCCTCCTCGCCCTCCTCCCCAGCAGCTTACTCTCCCTCCTCCTCCCCGTCCTCCCCTAGAAGCCCCTCCTTCTCCTCCTCCTCGTTCCCTGCAGTGCTGACTAGATCAGGGGAGCCCATGGGGTATAAACCCCAGGGCTTGCCGACAGCCCATAGGCTGCTGGCGCTGCTGCATCAGGTGGGAAGGGACGTGGAGAGACAGATGGTTGCTGAGACGACGGAGGGGCGAGAGGAGGCGGATTGTTGTGATGGGAAAGACGGCAAGAGGACCAGCCCAAGCAGCAGCGACAATGACAGTGGTAGCAGTGGTGGTTGTGATGGTGGTAGTGGTAACAGTGGTGTGTGTCGTCCCGTGCATCTGTTTGGGTTCAGCAAGGGTGGTGTGGTGCTCAATCAGCTGCTGGCAGAGGCAGCAGAGGCAGGGCAGATGCTCACAGCACAGGCGGCAGTCAGCGAGCAACTGGGGACGACCGAAGATCGATTGGGCAAGATTGATTCCCTGTCAAAAATCCCACCTCCTGCTCTCGCTGTGCCTGCGTCAGTAGCAGCAGCACAGGCACCTGCAGCAGCAGCAGCAGCAGCAGCAGATTCCCCGCCGCCATTCTCGCTGCCAGATTCACCCATGGCCTTCCTACAGCAGACAGCAGCGTGGGAGTATGTGGATGTGGGGCTGAACTGCCGCGGAGCGTACCCCACTGACCCTCGCACTCTCTCTGCCTTCGTGCATGCCTGCCAGCTCAAGCCCGCACTTTGCCAGCATGGCTCGTATCTCTGGAAGAACAAGCAGGTGCCGCTGCAAGTGACTGAGGTTCCCCCTGCTGCTGCTGCTGCTGCTGCTGCTGCTACTGCCGCTGGTGGTGGTGATGCTGCTACTGGGGCCAGTGCAGCTGGTGCTGCTACTGGCGGCGATGCTGCTGCTGCGTCCAATAGTCCCCCTGATGCTGCTGCTGCTGCTGCTGCTGCTGCTGCTGCTGCTGCTGCTGCTGCAGCTGTTCCTGCTGCAGATTTGTCAGCATCAGCCGCATGTGCGACGTGCAGCAAGGCAGTGGTGGTGCGGGTGCACGGAACGCCGCGGCAGTGGGAGGACAGGCGCAGGCCGTGGATCGGCAATGAGAAGCAGCGGTTTGTGGAGCTGCTGAGAGATGCCATGGTGAGAGGCGACAGGCTCACTCATGATGCTACGTTGCAATCACTCACACCAGCAACAGCACCGCCAGCAGCAACAGCAGCAGCAGCAGCAGCCGCACGAGCAGCAGCGGCAGCAGCTGCTGCAGCACCAGCGTTAGCACCAGCACCAGCACCAGCAGTGGCGTTCCCTAGGCAGCCGCAGCAACCAGGCTTAGCGGCAGCAGCTCCAGCAGCGGATTTTGGGCCGTTGTGTGGGGTGGAGGTGCGGGAGCGGCTGTACTTTGCCGGGCAGAAGCCAGCGACCCTGGATATGCACATGGAAGCTGTAGCTGCCATGGACTTGCAATAGCTTCTGAATAGGTGCCTATTGTAAAGTATTGTGCACACGTGTAAAGTTGTGCTACCGGTATACATACCTTGTTTGTGTGATTCGTCACTCCACGCCGGAATGTGTCACTTCTGCTGACAAATGTTGGGCTGAGAAAAAGCCCTTAGGATCTTTTCAAGGCTAAGACTTTGGGTAGAGATGTTGTAATTGCGGAAGCGTGTAGTAAACTTGTTGAACCACCTTGCACTAGTGTGTGAGAGCAAGAGATTGATTAAAGCAAAGAGATACAAGGATATATATATGATTACAAGGAATACGAAGAGGTGCAACTAACTGTTTTGATGTTGCGGTTCGATACAGTAACGACTCGGGCAACTGCTCAATACCGAGTCAGGTGTTTGTCCTTGCTGTCGCGCTGTATTTTTCGTCGAGTCAAAGGTCGCTGACCTTCGACCTTCGCGTAACCTCTAGCTGTTACGTTTGTTAACCTCCTTGGTTGACTCGCTTGTTGCTTCACTGTAGTCTGCTTCGTTCGTGTTATTACTTCGATACTTCAGAAGCGCCGATTATATGTTTCCAACACTCCCCTTTGCTTCTGGAGTGTCATCACATTTGTTGCTGGTTACGTGGCCTTGTCCAGTCAGCAGCATGCAGTACTCTAACTTCTGCTTTCCAAGTTTCTTGGTCAAGTAATCTGCTGCCATCTCGGACGTGGGACAATAGGATAGCTCGAGTGTTCCTTTCTCGATCTCGTCCTTCACGAAGAAGTACCGAAGGGCGATGTGCTTCGTTCGATTCGCGAACCCGCTCTTGTTCGCTATGCGAATTGCGGATTGATTGTCGCAGAAGAGGGAGAAGCTGGGTAACTGAGCCATTTTTGCTTCTTCCAGTAGTTCGCGAAGGTATAATCCTTCCTTGGTGGCTGAGCAGAGTGCGATGTATTCTGCTTCAGCTGAGGAGAGAGCGATTAGCTCTTGCTTGCTTGACTGCCATGAAATGGGGCCGATATGTTCGAGTCGGTAGATGTAGCCAGTGCGAGATCGCCTGTTGTCAGAGTCTCCGACGTGAGCGGCGTCGACGTAACCGATTAATTTAGGTGTCGCGGTTCCAGTTTTGTGATAGGTTAGGCTGACTGTCGGGGTGATGACGAGGTAGTGTAGAGCGCGATCGAGTTCCGCCATGTGCGTGGCTGTGGGCTTCTTGAGGTAGGTGGCGAGCTGGCTCGCTGAGTATGATAGGTCTGGTCGGCAGGTGACGGCTGCGAAGAGGAGGCAGCCTAGTTTTCGTTGGTAGTCACGTATGCCGGCGAATTTGAGTGGCGCGGAGACTTCCTTGCGGCTTCCGTCGGTGTAGCGATATGGTGTGGTAGTGGCGCTTGGGGTTAATCCGAAGCGTTTGGCGACGGTGTCGGCGTATTTCGCGGCGCTGAGGTAGATCGCGTTTTCCCCGTCTTGTATGTTGAGTCTTAGCTAGTGTGTTACGGTAGACGAGACGGTGAGCGTGAGGTCCCGTTGTAGCTCCCCTTCGAACCAGGTCGTGACGTCGTCGGTAGAGCCGATGTAAAGCAGGTCGTCCACATAGACTATGAGTAACATGTAGTCGGCACCCTTCGTGAGACGATACATCCCTTGGTCGTGCGGGAGTTGGCGAAATCCGATGCGAATCAATCGAGCGTGCAGATATTGTTGCCACAGCCTCGGAGCCTGTTTGGTCCCGTACAGGGATTTTAGTAGTTGACAGACTTGGTTAGGGTCTGCATTAGACCCATGTGGTTGTTCGACGAAGATTTCAGCGTCGACAGGGGCGTTGAGGAAGGCGTTGGCAACGTCGATTCGGCGGAGTTTCTTCTGCTTCATGGCGGCTATCGCGAGGAGGATTCGGAGAGAGGTATGTTTGCTAACTGAGCAGTATGGAAGTGGTCTTGCTTCCTCGGATGCGCCGTCCATGTTTTGCTCGTCCCAATCAGCTTCGTCAGCTGGTGTGGCGAAGGCTCGGTTGCCACGAAAGCCGCCCGTGAGGTCTCGATCTGCTGCCAGGTTGTCCAGGTATGTTTGAAGTGTGAGTCGCTCGTAGAAAATGACATCACGTGCTGCTACTGTTTCCTTTGTGTGGACGTCGAAAATATTCCATGCGTTGTAGTGTTTTTCGATGCCTAGATGTAGTCCCCATTGTGCGCGTTGGGAGAATCGGCCGGCTCGTGCAGTTGGGGGTCGGTACTGTACCATGCAACCGAATACTCGTAACATTTTTTTGCTGCCCAATTTCCTGTCCACAGCAGGTGCGGTGATGCGTTGTTCGGGAGCGATGACGACGAGAGCAAGTTGTGCAGCATGACAGCATGGTCCATTGCCTTGGGCCACTGGTGGTTGGGCAGTCGCAGTCGCTGTAGAATTTCTCCAATGGTGCGTAAACTGGCGCGCTTGGATTGTGGTGAGGGACAAACGGTTGATGAGGTAAGTCGGCTTCGGGGCAGGTAAAACATGTACCTCGGACTCATTGAAGTTCTCTGCCGTCGGTTAGAAGTAGGGAGTCTTTGTCGAGTACTCCTGCCCTGATCGTGTTGTTTAACGTTGTGTTTCTTGGGTGACCCAATATTTTGTGCCACCGTGATTCGCTCGCGCGGTGTCCTGGTGAGCGCCTGTATAGGTCGGAGTTGGAATAGAAGCCGGTGGTGAAGTTGGCGCTTCTGTGGACTTCTCGTGGAGTGGGAGTCAACTGCTGAGCAGAAGTCGGTGGCATGTCGTTGATGGGGACCGGTGTTGTTGAAGGACCAGCGAGTGGTGTCGTAGTTGTTGTTGCTGCTACCGATGTTGTCTCTGCTGCTACCGATGTTGTCTCTGCTTGCCGAATTGTTGCTAACACTCTTGTTCTTTCTGCTTTAGGTATGGTGTGTGAGTACCAAAATCCTTCAGGACTGAACTCGGGGTCGAGATCTGGTGGATATGTCCAAGAGGTGAAGTTGACGATGGCGTCGCTGTCGGCGGTGCCTTGGTCTGGAACGAAGTCATGAACGAAGACATTGTTCTTCAAGACTGCCTTGCCAATGTAGAGTCCACCTTTCCCGTGGTACAGTTTGAACTCTTGAGTGGTGCTGTCTGCTTCGAGATTAATTCCCTTCGCCATTAGTTGACTGACGCTGAGTAAGTTATAACCGAGTCCTTCTGCAATTGGAACCTTCGACATTTGCAGAATAACGTTGGTTTCTCGAGATTGAAGTTGAACTATCCCCTGTCGTCGTGTGTGCATGTTCTGGTTGTTGGCGACGGTGATTACGACTTCGCGCTGAAGTTGGTGTTCCCGTTGAACGAAGCGACCCGAGGAGCACATGTGCTGTCCGCAGCAGCTGTCCAAGAACCAGGTGTCTTTCCCGGACGGCTCGCTCTGGGCGATGGCTGCATACGTCGGGTTGGGCTCTTGTGATTCGCGGCGAGGAGTGCTCTCGTCGAGCTGTTTTTCTGGTGAGTAGTACGGTGGTGATCCGGTAATGCAGAAGTCTGTCGTTCTTGTCATGTAGCTCACGATGTTTCTTGTACCTTGTGCAGGTTTTGTCGTCGATGACGTTGAGAACTGTACTTGATTGGTGGGATGCGTCTGTGTAGAAGCCACTCGACTGCTTGAGGGCCGAAGTTGACGTTGCGACGGCGTTGACTGCTGCTGATTCGGGCAGTGTGTGCGAGGGTGTCCTGACGTCTTGCAGAGATGGAAGAACTGTGGTACGTACTGTTGAGCTTGATGTTTGTTCTGTCGATTGTTGTTGTTGTTGTAGCGCCGTTGAGTGTGAAACGCGAACTCTGGTGCTGACGATCTCTTCTTGTGTCGTTCTTCGTGTAGGTCCATGTCCAGCTGTTCAGCGTGAATTTCGGCGCAGAGTGCTGCTTCGGAGATCTTCCCGTGAGCTTGGAGGAGTGCTCGAGTGGAGCGCCAACGAGGACCGAGGCCAGAGATGACAACTGTCACGAAGGCTTCTTCGGATATCAATCCTCGCATCGAAGGAGTCTGTCGCGCAGTCCACGACAACGGGTGATATACGCCATCCCTTTTTCGCCGGGTTTCATTTCCCCTGTTGTCACCTGTGCCATGAGACGACTTTGATTAACAATGTCTGTTGCTTGATACAGGTTCTTCAGGTGGTCGTACACTAGCTCGGTGGAGTTGCCGTACCCTCGATAAGACCGGATGTTTTGCTGTTCGTTCAGAGTTATGTTTCGCAGAAGAATTGTATACGCCATCAGTGACTGATACGTGTACTGTTGCTTGTCTTACTGCGTCCCATGTGTTGGGTATGGCAGTGATCCGTCGAAGAATCCGAGAATCTGCGCGCCTTCCATCATTAGCTCAAACTCGAATGACCAGGTATAGAAGTCCTTTCCGTCAAAGGGTGTCGATGTCTGCAGTTTCAAAACGTGTGCGAACTGTGATTGAACCTGAAGCACGTCCAGTGTCTTCTCTTGTCCAGGTGAAGGCTGTTGGTGTGGCGTGAAGCTGATGGAGCCACGTTGAGGTTCGTACGGGGCAAAGGTAGGTTGCTGCTGGTTTCCGCGCGCATAGGATGAACCGTCAAGGCTCATTGGGGTAACCCTATTGTTGTTGTCGCTGTTGTTTGATTGCGCAGGTGCTGCTCGCTGGTGCTGCTCGTAGAAGGACATGAAGGAGAAAAATTTCTCCATCATGCTTGGGTCAAAGCCTGTTGTTTGATTCCCGGGAGTTTCAGTAGACTCCGCAGCTGGTCTTGTTGCTGTGCCTTCCTCTGTCTATAGGCCAGAGGCTGGAGGTGGAGTATGAGTAGTGGCGGGAGATCCGTTGGAGGAACTCCTCTCCTTCTGAGTTGCCATTCCTTGTGCTTTTGTAGGAGTTTGAGTTGTTGATCTTGCCTTGGAGGCTCTCATACCATGTTGGGCCGAGAAAATGCCCTTAGGATCTTTTCAAGGCTAAGACTTTGGGTAGAGATGTTGAAATTGCGGAAGCGTATAGTAAACTTGTTGAACCACCTTGCACTAGTGTGTGAGAGCAAGAGATTGATT